TTCTTCCAACCAAAATGGCTACTAAGCTTTCAAAGAGCCGGCATAGACACTGAATGTGCAGAAGCAAAGAAAATTTTCAATTACGACACCCAATTCAAGTGTGGTACACGTTGTTTATTACACGTTTCCATGCTACGCCCCCAACATCATCATATGAATTTCGATTAAATGTAACGCAAAAGCATTTCTAGATTTTGTTGCTCTATTTATTCTTTTCATTTACCGAAGAAAGTAAAATGCAGACAATTTAATACAGAACAATCGTCGATCTGTATATATATATATTAAATGAAAATAGAGCTTTACCACATCGACGTTATTGCGTATAGTTTTGTGGGGATTTCCTAATCAGTATTTACACATCCACTGATATAAACGCTTTGGCAAACAATACAAACTGCTATTTTTCTAACGCCGCCGTATTTAATGTGTTACAGTTTTGTCGATTGTTCTGAGCTCATTCGTTCAATGGAGAGCAGCAACCTGCTTCCATGCATGAGTTCCGATGCTGAATCGGTGGTGGTCTGTGAAATTCGTTAGATACATACATACATACATACACACACACACACACAATTGAATTCCGCGTGATGCTGACGCAGTGTATGTTGTTGGCGTTGTGCTAAACCGAAGTAGCATCGGATTAAGTATCTCAACATTCAGCGAAATCCAATAAATGCAGCATTGCAAATAATTCCATCCCCTCATGTTCGCGCACGGTTCCACTTGCCGCCTGAATCCTATCTTTGAATTTTCATTCTCCTGGAACGCACGGTGCACAGAAACTTATACATATACCGATATTTTTCGTGTGATTTATGGCTGAATTTTGACATATTTGCTCAATTTTGTGATAATATTGAACGTTATACCATGCACGGTGCGTTCATTTGGGGCAAAAGTTCATCTCATCGCATTACACTCCGTTCGTTTCATCAATTTTTAATGCATCGACAGAGTCTAGTGCTAATAATACATATTGGATTTGCCGAGAGAGAAAAAAAACAATTTCAGCCACATCTTGTTATTTATTCAATGGATCGATGCGCTGCAGATCCACTGAATCACAAGCAAAACAAATCCCTACTTATTCTCAAGACCAATGTTTAGCAAAACGCAACACGACCCAAAATTGCAGACGCAAAATTATGGCATAGCAATGTACTGTGCAGTAGTGCTTTCGTAAATGGCTGCATTTGCCTCGAACGCAAAGAAATGTAAATCAGCCTTATCACTCGGGCGAAATCGACGAGTGCATTTTGAATTGCGAGACTGCGGTGACCTGAAGCGGTCAATAGAGGAGTTTTTCAATGTATAAAAATACCAAAAGATAGAAGAAAAAAAACAACTGAAAAGAAATCGTTGACGCATTGGGTGCAGAGCAGCCCCAACATTGATTGCAAGAAAGAAGAAATTTCCAATTCACTACTTGAGTGAACGAGTGAGAGATCGTTTTTCAATTGTATATTGATATTTGAACAGCAAAATCTATTACACTGATAGCGTTATTCGACGAAAGAAGAGAGAGAGAGAGAGAGAAGGAAAAAAAAAGTAGCGAACATTGTCTGCTGAATGCATTAACTGCTCGTGAACAAGCGTTCTTGACTGGGTCCCGAACAATGGCTTATAAGAGCCTTATTTTATCTAAATCCAAAGCATTTGAGTGGAAAAAAAGGTTTTTCCCTCTCTGTCTGTCTAACACTCTCAAAGATGCTCTCCTCACACTTTCGGTTGCGCACTTTTATAAATGCGCTGCTGCTGCGGCTGCTACTGCATCCCATTTACTAGTTGCTCTTTGCGCGTCTGAATTGATATTTATATATTCCAATGGCAAACATTTCTCGAACGGAAGAAAAACCGTTTAAAAGATTTGTTTTGCAGAGTAAAAAAAAAAAACACACACAAACACCGTGAAGAGAAGCAACGGTCCGGCGAGATATTTTTTGTGTGTGAAATTTTCAAAGAACATCGATGTCGAAATGATGAATTGTGCCGATCGGTCCTTTGCTTGCTTGCCTCACGCTTTCTGAATACACCAATTATGTGCAGTAAATTCGACGTCGTCATATCTCTAATTAAGATCGTGAACATTTTAATTGCAATCTTTTACATGAATTGCCTGTTTTCTTCCCAAGCTTATCTAATCATCATGCGTCAGACCCATCGCTGGCTATATATAATTCCGTTTTGGCAGAACGGAATGAATGAGCGCGAGTGCGCTCATCAGCGCAAAATAAAACGTAAAAAAAAAATGTGTATCGTGAACCAATTTTAAAGACAAATCGTTCTTTGGAAGCAAAATGAAATGTTTTGATGCGAAATTTATTGCAATTAGGCGTCATGCTTGGTTAGTATTATCGGCACAATTTAACACCAGTCATCTGGAGGCGTCTTGCAAAATTTATCACTGTTCGAATGTGTCTCCGACTTGTCGAACGGGCGAATGCAAAAATTATACGGTTACAAAGCGAACTGTGAATCACAACGCCAAGTCTGAGTGCGAGAATGAGAGCGGAAAACAGAGAGAGAGAGAGGGAAAGAGAGCGAGAGAGAGAGAGGGAGAACGCGAGACTCAAAGACATTGCCGAGCATCGCCAATAAAGTGACAAATTTATACAATAAATAAATGCGACATTTTAAACGATTCGAATGAAAGAAATCCAAAGATAGAAAGGAAGTGTAAATGAAGGAAATGCAACAGTGTCATTGCTCCTCGTGCGAACAAACACACACATACACATTTCTGTCTTTCTCTGTCCTTCATGCATCGAGCATCGCAAATGAAAATTTAAGCTGTAAGTGATATTCGGTTATTTCGAATGGAAAAACTTATTCTTAATCTTAATGCGGATTTGCGTTTTCGTTGATTCTTATCGTATTCGCTAAAAGATTTCAAACTAAAGCGCAGCAAAACCAAAACCAATTTACAAAGCACTTAGTGTTGTTAATTTCGCGATGAGATAATATTTAATGAGCTTGGTGTTGTGCATTGCAAATCGTTCTGCGAATAAATTGCACATGTACAGACACCGCTTGGCGCTTGTGCTTGCGCGCGCGACTGCAATTTATCTTTGACCAAACGACAAACACTCTCGCTCCGTTCAGAGAACGAAAGCCAGCCAATGCGACGGAAATTGTATCTGAAACAATATAAACCGAAAGAAGAAAAAAAAATGCAACAAACAAAATAAGGGGGCAATACAAGAAATTCTCTGGATCTTAGATTATTTCGATTTGAGTTGAACGATTAAAAATGCCGCAAGAAAGTTTCGATTTTTCTTTTCCTTTGCTTTGCATTGCGTTTTTTCCCTTTCTCTACCTGCTAGCAGGGCAAAATTGCAATGAAAAAGTAGAAAGAAATAAAAAACTTAAATAATAAAACAACACGAAGTCTAAGACTCGCCAACGGACTGTTTCAGATGATGGATAAGCGATTTTATCAGGCAAAAGGCGTAAATTCAATTTCGTTGCATTTGCTCATGTATTATGTGTGTGTGTGTACTCAACAATCGGCGATTTTTTGCAAGTAAACACACTGCATTTAGCTTTGCAGCTCTGAATAATAAGCAACTGCTTTTTTTTCCTTCGCTTCATTCAAGAACCGAAGCGGTGGCGGCCGCCGTTGCCGAACAACGAGAAACTCACAAGCAAATGTGCAGTGGCTGAAGAAAAGCAGGCTAAAAACAATGTTTACTCTTGCTCGCCGTAGTACGACGGATTGAGAGCATACGGTTAGTGCAAAAGCATTTATTTTCCTACCTAAAGCGAGCGCCATCTGTTCAGTTTGAACATGAAAACAAACAAATTGATCCATACAGAGTTGTAATACAATAAAATCTCTATGTAGAGGAAACGCTGTAGTTCGTTTTGTTTGGCACATTTTTTATACACTGCCTTTATTTCCACCGATTCATATATCGGTTGGCAGCTGGAGTCACTTTGTTTGTTTTCATGTTCTCACCGAATAGATGGCTTTCGCGTTAAGGAGGGCAATAAATGCTTTTGCACTAAAGGTATGATTGAGAGAGAAGGTCGGGCGGTGTGTATGTGGTTTTCTCACATTTGCGCTCCACATTGCGTTATTTGGATTTTATTCGAAGGCAAATTTGCATATTCAAATCAACAAATCTGCTCACATCAACTACTACTGTTCGATGTTCATGCTTGCACACACTTGCACTGTTTTCCACTACTTGCTGTTGGGTTTTTTCTTCTTCGTCGTTGTCGTGCATTTTGCGTCTCTCGCTTTATATTTTTCGGCCCATTTTTGTTTCTATTCGCCAGCACATTTTTCATCCAGAGGCGAAAAACCGTTACATTTAGAGGTGACAACGGACATGGACCAAATATCTACAATGTCGCTTGGTTGATTGTTAATTCAATTTTCAAGCAGAGATGCTGCTTGCTCCACCAACAAATATTATTACCTTATATTCAGACATTTGAGTTTTGATAACAAAAAAAATCAATCTAAATCACGATATAAAAGTGATTCAATTCTTCAATCTTCAAACATTTAACAGACAATTCGCAATGTGTGTCGACGTTTTGATGCTGTCATTGTTTTCAGTTTTGGTTTCAGGAGATTTAATGAATTGTTTACTTCAAATATTCGTCGCATGTTCTGCTTTTTCTTCCATACACACAGAAAAAAGTCACATTCATGCCATATCGCTCGTCTCTTCACTTTCATTTTCTGGTGTATCCGTGCGATGCTGAATGATGTTTTACATTGCATCCCCCTCTAACCAAAGTAATATTCTATCGATATCGTTGAGCCGACAACTCTTATGTTTCGTCTCATCGCATATTTCACTTGATTGTGGTTGTAGGCTTCACATTGCATGAGCTGAATCAATGTTGTGCGCATACTCATGTCATTTAAATAAACAAAACAAACGATTTCAGCAAGTGGCTAGTAGAAAGAAATCTGCCAAAATTAAAGGTAGAAGAGGTGTAAAACCAATGACTTAAAAAAAAATTTAAATTGGTTTCACGCATTTATTCTAATGACAGAATTTGAGTTGACGTATTTGAAGACTAAAATGGATTTTTACCACCGTTGATCTAAACGAAGCATAATGTGAAACTTGTCTGTGTATTTTTGGCCAAACAAACAACAGACCGTTCAATATACGGTGTTTGCTGCCAAAATATGACAGACGAACCATAGACGAATTGTGCAGTCGAGATAGCATCATCACACACAGCAGAGCGCGAAACAACACAGCAGATTGCGGATTGTTCCAGATCGCAGAATTTCAACAGTCTGGATTGTGAGTATTTATTTTCGATTCTTGGAATATCGAAATTAACAATTACATCAGTAGTCAAAATTTCATCGAAAATTTCAGACAAATTCAACAACTGTCACAAATCGTAGGATCGTGAAACGTCAAACATAGCCATGAACAGAGAAACTGCATTCGAAGCCTATTTTTTGGACGAAAAATCGGCTGATGTTCATTTCATTTCGGATGATCGTCAAAGTGAAGTTCGTGTGCCGGCACACGAAATTATTCTGGCTGCACAAAGTAAAGCATTTCATGCGATGTTCTATGGTTCTCTGCCGGAGGAAGGTGATGTGCGGTTGCCGGTTATAGCCAAAGCATGCAAACAATTCCTACAACTGTTCTATCTCACTGAAGTTGAACTCACTTTGAACAATGAAAACGAAAAGGAAGTGCTTCATTTGTCCAATATGTATCAAATTGGATTGAATGAATATGAAAATAGTTTAAAGAAAAATCTATCGACCGACAATTTCATCACATTCTACGAATTGGCTCTGCTGCACGATTTGACCGAATTGAAGTCTTCATGCGAAATCAGTGCACCGGTTTTGTTGTCAGAGGAAAGCGTTGTCAAGAGTACGCGCGATGAGTTCAAGCACATTCTGCAAATAAAGCAATTGTACGTCGAAATGGATTTGGTTGGCATTTGTGTGCAATGGGCACAAACCGCATGCGAAGCACGACAAATTGGCCCCGAAAGCATGGACGACATTGTACAGGAGATCGGGGATTTGATCGAATGTTTCGATTTTGAGTCGATGTCTCGAAATAAAATCCGAGAAGTACTGAACATGTTCGATGCTGTTTTGACAAAAAATACATACCGAAACATCATCAACATTCTGATGACACGCGATACTCCATTCGACGTTGCTTGCGTTACTTGCGTTACTCCACATAAGGTGTGAAATTTTTTAAGACGTTTTTTTATGCTATATTCTTACTTGTTTGTATTAAATTTAAGGTTGTGTGGTACGCCAAGGAGACAGCGGTACGTTTCGGTTATTTCGGAACTGGTACATTGGATCGACCGAAATTTTGAATATCATTACAAACGAGAAGATTACGTTGAGTGCCATTGGTTTAGCGCCAATTTATTGAGATTTCGGAAATAAAAGCCGAGAAGGCGATGCCATCTACGGCCAATTGGCGATACTAAAAAGTAAGGAAGACAACGGAAGCGAATACACGGTCTTGCTACGAGAAGGCTTCAACATTGTGCCCTTTGTTGACGGAAAAAATGAAGTCAACACGGTACATACGCATCGATTTGCAACGGCCGTGTTGTTGGACTCAAACCGAAAATTCAAAATTCAAGTGCAATTCATGAATCCAAACAAAGGCTCGATTTATGGCCTGTCCAAACTGATCGAAATGGGTAAACAAGAGCATAACCGATCATCAGACGATCCAACTGAAATTGTTTTCAATGGTTCCGGTACGATCGCATATTTGGGCATTGGCAGTGATAACAATAGACTTCAAATCAACCCGCCAATGATGATGGAGAACTCTCTTTGAATCGAAGTATGACACTAACAGTTGAATCTCATTTGTAATGAATAGGAAAATGTGCCAAAATGAATGAATTAGATTACACAACTAGATTATAAGAAAACAGTCTCCTCAATAGCTAGTATTAAAATCCCGATCGAAGATCTGCAAATTGATATTCTGCGCACTCAATCATATACATTGTATTGAAGAAGGAGAAGAAGAAGAAGGGAAAGCTAAAAAATAAAAATCCATCAAAACTTCATAAAAGAAGTTATTACTATACGCTGTTATTCCCATTGAGCTATTTTCTTTCAGCTTGATTCGCTTCGAAATTCAAGAATTTCAATCGTTTTTTACACCTTTCATGTGACCTAGTGCGTATTGGCTCAATGTCAATACATTCTGAACATTTTCTATAGTGGAAAAATTCAATTCGTCATCAATATCAATTCACACGTGTACGGACAATTATTGTATCCGTTGCCACTTCTTGATTACATTGAATCAAAAGAAGCAACATTATTTGCAGTCCGCTTTAAATTTCAAAACTGTCTCCGGTGAAACAAGCGAATGCCTGCGTTCTGAAATTCGCATTCGCTGAAAATCATTGCGACATTTATATTGAGATAATCCAAATTGTTGTTTGTCACCCAAATAAAAATGAAATGGAAATCCAATTGAAAATATGTTTTTTTTTCTGCTTCATCTAAATTAGAAAATGTGTGCGTTTTTTTTTCAGGGAAAATATTTACAAAGCATTTGAAATCATGCATTCTAACTGTTTACACAACAGTTTAGAAACGACATTCAATGTCAATCACACCATCAATTTTGATTGCACAAGCTTGAAATGAAAATGCCGTGCTACATCGCGAGTGTGAGAGAATGACCGTGACATACAGACACATTCCTCTTTTGCTCTCACTCTATCGCCATCTCTCTCCTCTCGCCCGGCTTTCTCCTACTCTATTTTATTTGCCGAGTTAATCCGTATACAATGTGCGAATCTGGAATGAGCTGCAATAAACAAATTCAGTGACCGCCGACCGTTTATACATGTACATAATAATGATGAATGTAAGGAGACAAAATTTAATCTTTCTTCGCTTTTCTCAGACATCTTAAATCAGAAAAAGTTTCAGTTGCAACAACAGCAATGGGAGAAGAAAAAAAACGACAGAAGAAACGAAGTGAATCGGTTGAGCGACAGAAATTAATCTCAACAAACTCAAAGGATGTCTTAACGCGACGCATTCAAGCTAATATAATTGCTAATTACAATTTAAGCTTGATCTATTTCATGTTGGAAAACATAGATGTTTATTTGATTTTTGCGTTGTTTTCTCTTTGTCAATCAGGAGCCAAGATGAAGTTCCATAAAAATCAAATAAACCAAGTATTCATTTGATTCAGTTAATATTTGATACGAGAATTAAAATGATCATCAAAAGACGGAATCAACGCATCAATTCAACGATGATGACGGCCATCATTGTACACATTTAGTCATTACAAATTTGTACACGGAAAACAGTGCCTCTGTTTGATCAAAGAATACGATTTGTGCCTGGCATAAATATATTAAAGATGTAATTTTGAACGATGACGCAGAAAATATGAATACAATAAGAGATACAATGAAGTCGTTATTGTCATGTTTATATTGTTGTTAAGTAAACTGGTCGAAAGGAATGGTCGACTCATCATTGAATTCATTGAAACTGTGAAACGCAGTCGGAAGGAATTAACACAATCCGATTTTAAATATTGATCTAGAAAAATCCACGTTTATACATGAGCACAGCTAGAGAAATAAAATGTCAAGAATGAGAGAGAAAAAAAATCTAATTTAAGTGGAAATAAGGAAAGGAAACAGTTTCTTCGTCTCAGCATCGACTTACTGATTTTGTTTCTTCTTCTTCTCGAGAATAAATAAAATATGCTTGCAATGAATGCTTTGCACAGTCTATTTTATTACCATTTATTGATTGAACGTTTTCTAACTGGGATGAGATATGGTGTCGAGCGCAAGACTTAGTTCATTGGTAGAGAGCAGCAGAAAAATGAAATTGAATAAACAACTTAGTTTGATTCATCTGTGCGTTAAATATGATCCGGTTTATTCCAGACGCTTGAATGCAAATGACAGCAAACGTTTCATGAAAAATAATTTAAACGATGAGTGGTTGATTTATGGGAAATGTTTCATTTTCTCGTCTTCTTTGCAAATTATCGCAAACTTGACAATCAGCAAAATGTATCTATTTTAATGTACCGTCAAATTTTCCGTTTTTTGTTTAATTCAACGCCAAAAAATGGTGTTTAATGAACTGACCAATGTCATATAACCAATTGCGACGAATATTTTCCAAAGACAGTCTGTATTACTTGGAAAGGTAGAGGCAGAGAGCAGAGATGACTTTAGCGCGACCAAGTACGCTACAGCGCACCCAAGTATTTGTGATGTTTTTTGTTTTGTTTTTTTCTTCGTTATATTTCACCATTTTGGTCAAAAAAACTTTGTATCAATATTTTGTATAACATAACAAAGAACAGTTTTTGAAAAACCACATTTATATTAGTAAAATATGAAGAAAAAATCCCCAAAAGTAGAAATTGCGTAATATTGCGAAATTGAGCCAATGTGCGTAATTACTAGGTGCATATGACCACACAATGCGAATACCGGGGGCAGAAAATGTAAGCTCTTCTTCGTTACACAAAATATTATTTAAAAAAAATCCTGGCCAAAAAGCTAAAGTAAAAACTCGGGTGCGCTGTAGCTATACTTGAGTGCGCTAAAGTCATCTCTGGCAGAGAGAGAGGAAGACAAAGAGAAGGAGTGTATGTGCATAGATATTTAGAGAGATGCTGAATCTAATAAAAGATAAGAAACCCGGAGGCGAACATTAAGTACACGATTTTTATTGCATCAGAAAATGGGTGCACTTTTTTTCTCACAACAATCAGTTTAAAAATATTGATTTTACGTTTTGCTTATCTCGCAACACTGTTTAATCTAGATTCGTTCCAATGAAAAGCGATAATATTACCCAGCTCTTGGAAAGCAAAAGAAAAACGTAGTGAAGGGTTGACTTTTTGCATTTTCAGACAAGAGGACAAGAATCTTGGCTAATGCTCTCGCCAATGGGAATTGGACGATGAAACGAACTTGGTGAGAAAAAAAAAACAAACGTTTTCCAATTTACATGTCTGAGCCCTATAAATTATGCCAACTTCTGGCCAAATATATGGATCACATACAAGTATTATGGCAAAATGTAATGTGTTCGGTTAGTTTTCTGAAATTTTCCCATAAAAAAATGAAATAAATTTTCTTGTTCACGGCACGATACTTCGAAAAAGGCAGGTAAATCGAATTCATTTTGTCGATTTGAAAATAAACGCGCAGTTGTGTGTTTTTTATGCTCTTCCGTTAGTATTTTATCGGTGGAAATTTGCGCATACGAAACGAAATACAACAAATAGAACGTGATGTTCATTGTCAAAAAAAGGAATCGTTCGACTGATGATATAGTGAAATGGTTGATGAAATCGCTGTTGCCGGAGAGATAAGTGCAAAAAATGCTTTTGATGCGATGCGGCGTGTGTATGTGTGTTTTTTTCTCTTTTGATTTCTCTTTCACCTGCACACCCACCAGTTGGGTCCTCACGCTGTAGAGAGCGTTTGCACGTGACAGTGTCAACTAGTGAATTATCTTGAAATGTGAATGGGTGGAAAAAAAGAACAGCATCAAAGTGGTGAAGTATACTACACAACCCAATGAGAAAACCATTTTATCGTTTCACATGTTTTTTTTTCTTCTGAATGCGCCACGTTACAAACGATTTTACTAAATCAAGTTTGCACTAAGGGGGTGAAGTCGAGCACAACACTTCTATGGATGGGTATGACACACATAGACACACCAGTCTCGAAATAGTATGCTTTTTGAAAACAATTTACAGGACACTTCACGAGTTGTGTAGCAATGGTTCTCTCTATCGCTCTCTCTCTCTCTCTCTCTCTCTCTCTCTCTCTCTCTCTCTCTTGCTCATCCCCTCGATTGTGTTCCGCTAGAATAATAAACACATCGAAAGTTCATGTGACAGCACACACTTGCCGATTCCATAAACACTCTTTTTTTTAGCAAAATGCGACTGTATTCAATTATTTCTTAATGAATGTGTTGTATTCGTAGGGGAGTGAGAGAGTGAAAGAGAGACACAAGGAGAAAATGAGAATGAAATTGGGAAATGTTCGTTTGGCTGATTGAAATGCAAACCATCATTTCACATTTGCTTATTAATTTGGTAGGTATCGATTTCAAAAGAACAAAAATTGCGAGTTTGAAGTTTTTGCGTAATCGATAGAGCAGCAGCAACAAGTACAGGCAACATCAGACCACTTTCGCTACAATTTCAGTCGATTGAACGTCACCTGTGCAAACATATTTACATTCGTGTGTGTGATATGTGATCGAACGTCGGAATCATATCAACGACAATATCATTTGGTTTCGAGTTCAAAGAAAACCAACTAACACAATTCGTATGCATGGGGGAGAACCGTTTTCCGTACATTTCCTCGACTTTCCAATTTTATGTACACGAAAAAGCATCGTTTGACAAAACAAGAAATGCATGGATAGATGTTGCTTTGTTCCTTGCGCTCATGTTTTTTTGGTACACATCAGACCGACCATGCAACATCGTCGTGTTGGAATCGAGAGATGGACTTATTGTGATGGGTAAAAACCCGTTGTTTACACCATTTCCGATGAAATCGAGTGAGGATGAGTGCTTCAAAGCTAAAAAAGCAATATTAGTGAATAAATGATGAGATCACAAATGGACAATACGTTGATGTGGCCAGTCAAATTCGTTGTATCGCAATAAAAGAGCTGCGCTGCGAAAATGCAAATTACGATTGAAAAAACATAAGCACTTAACACGGTTCGCTTGATGCAATGTGGCATCGCATGACAGACAGATGGAATGAAATGTTCAGCAGCGAATATTCCAAAGATTTCAAGTGATGCTAGGATTGGAATTGAGAGTATTTGCCATGGTTACTTAGTTGACATTCGTATGTTTTTTTTTCTCTGTTCGTACGTTGGTTAAATGCAAATTAGAACTACACACAATTTGCATTGGAAATCGGAACACATTTACACAGAGCAAACGAGTTGATGCGAGACACACAGAGAAAGAGAGAGATAGATAGAGCAAAAGAGACAGAGAATGCCACATTTCGAAGGAAAAGCGTAAAGTATCTACAAATCCTATCAATCCCCAGATGGATTTGAGCTATCGTCGCGTTCATTGTTATTCAAAAATGCCTTCATTCCGCTTGTCTTGGTTGTGCATGTTTTTATTTTATTTTTTCCTGCGGTTTTTGTTGCTGTTGCCCCTGTTTTCATCGCCTGAGAAATGGCCAAGCCGAAAATATGAAATGCATGGAATTATAGCTTTAACTCAAAACATACCCGAAATGGAAGAAGAAGAAAAAAAACTGAATGCATGAAATGGAGAGCTGGAATGTGTGACTGAATTAATGGACTGATGACCACTCTCGTGCAATGTAATTAGAGCTACATGGGTACGAAATTGCTTGACTGCAGGAAAAATCGACAACAACCACTGCGAAAAATATACACTTCACTTTCGCATGTCACACACATTTCGCTCTTATCTTTTTTTTCATATTTGCCGCACTCGTTCGCTTCTCTGATGAAACTTGCAGCGCGGAAATTATAGCACATAAAAAAAATTTAGCGTGAGTGTTTGTGTGTGTTCAACAAACAAACCGCAACGCAAATTTTCCGATGGAAAAAAATCATAAAAACCTCAAAACGAATCGTCTGAACTCACAATTACTGACAAATGGAACAGTAAGAAAAAATGCCACGAAGTAAAAACTGAAATTGGCGTTTTGAAACGCTCCAAACTTACATCTTTATTTTTATCAAAATATAAAATTGAGACTTTGTATTCAAAACAACAAAATCAATACATATTTCAAATGGAATCGCATATTGATTGTACGGGCGCACAATACTACGGGCAACAACATATGCGGCGCCAGAGTAGCACAGGGTAAAAAACGAAACTTTAAAATTCCATTTTAGCATCGCTTATCTCTAACTTAGTTCCAGCATTCTTATGGCTCGATTCCAATTTCCTCAAGAATTCCTCGAAAATGATGACACTTTTGTACATTGCAGTCTTCCGATATGTCTGTCGATGGAATAAAAAGAGATGGAGAGACATGGTGAGATATTTGTATTTGCAACGAATTTCTGCGTCTAAAAAAAGTGCAAAATCAAATCGGTTCTTCACTTGAAAACCGAACATACCAATGCGATGCGACTTTTTTCGGAGCCATTTTCTTCGTCTTTTTTATCAAATTGATCGACTTCGATGAGGAGCTGCCGAAGTTTTGGCACAGTTGTTGGATCAAATTTACTGACAGCAGATGGATTGAACGGTACACATACTTTGCCGGTCTTTGGATGCACACAAAACGGCGCTTTCAGTAAATGGTTGGCTGTTTTACTCACAGAAATATCCAAACGTGGACATAGAATCGACATTTGAATTTCTTCGATCAGAAATTTGAGTTTTTTCACATTTCGATTTGCAATCACGTATCGCTTTACTATGTCCCAAACGGTCTTTGAATCTCCAGCTTCAACGCTCATAATACTTTTTTCCAATTCTTTTCGCGTATTTTCATCTTGTATTAATTCGAGCAACTTCTTTCGACCCTCCGACGAACCGAATATGTTTTGATCGTTTAAACAAATTTCGTCGAAATATGCTTCGACAATTCGATGGGCACGCTTCATACTGTGATGCATTCGATCGCCGGGCAATGAAACACGACTGGTCGAATTTTGGGATGTAAACAAATTCAAGTATTCAGCAACAGCATTTCGATTTTTATTGTCCAGGTGACGGGCGATTTTGTCACAAACCCAACAATGGATACCACGACGTCCACTGAACACCCATAGAATGTGCTCGAAATTGAAGTCCTCTGCAGCAATGACGGGAATGTGTTCAAGAGAGAAAATAGAAAATGCGCAGTTAAAAACAATGAACTAAAGTTGAAGTGATTCGTGTAAATGATATTGCACATACCTCGCAGTGATTCGTCCAGTATACGACATGCGATGACCATGAATTTCCAGCATTTTTGACAAACATCAGCACCCGAACAGCATGTACGCACCTCATCATAATCGGTCATATCGATATCGAAAACGAGCTCGCGTTGTGTGGGCTGCACATTGCCCACGCGATGATCCTTCGGCCGGATGGTCATCACGGCGCCAATATCAATTTTGAATGGATTTTTCGCAAACAAATCATTCTCAAATTCGTTCAAATTTTCGTATGACAAATATCGAATGTACACTTCATCGGCCAATGTGAAGGAGAACTCACGATTTTGGAATATTGATGGCTCAGCTAATGAATAAACAATTCAAATTGAATCCATATGTGAATATTGAGTAACATTCAATTGTTTCAACAAGAAACGAAAAAAAAACAACAAACTAAACTTACTGTGACTGTACGTGAGCCAGCGGAAGAAACTGTTGCGTGGAAAAAGTCGTTTGTAGTAAATTTTCAGCATGTCTTGCAGATCCTGCTGACTATACTCCTCCGCTTTATTTTCAACCATTTTTTTTACGCGTTTCTATTTGAATCCCAGTCTAATTATTTGTTTCGAACTTTTTTCGTTTCAAACGAATCTTTTGTCAATGTTCTGTACCGCAGATTGAGAAGTTTACATTCGTTTGTAGCTTGACGTTTGGCTTTCGCGCCAATACCAACCAACAATGACAATACTTTGGTGTTGCCCACTGCGACCGGTTGTGACAAATTATCGCAAAGTAGTAGAGCTTATGTTGATTTCTGTTATTCATTTACATCAAATGAACATATTGAACAGAAACAAAACCGAACGAAAACATGGCAAATCGAATCTTTTATTATTATCATCATTTTTTTTTGCTTCTACATGGAACAATTTATTACATACTTATAATTTTATATTGAAATATGTTTTCGACCTGTGTCGAATACGAGTCAAATATATAATTTTAATGGTTTTCATTTAGCGCCTGCAAAAACTGTAATATTTTGGATCACATTTCGCTTAAGGAGGTTAAATTGAAATAGTATAAATCTCGAGTGTCCCCGTTCATAATCACTTGTGGTAAGATGCCCCGTGTGGATTTTGATTGGTTTCTTTTTAGTCATCATTAACCATAGTAACGAGTAATTCAGTAAAAAAAAATTAAAATCGAAAAGATTCACTTAAAAAAGCATTAACTTCAACTGGAAACAAACGAAAAAAAAAATGTTGTGATGTTGTCATCCTTGCAGTTTTCTAATTGCAACAACAAAGAAAAGCCACTAGCAAAAATTGGTTGTATGAGCCTACACACATGAGTGAACAAATGAATCAATTTGTTGATTTATTTGGTAATTTTTCGGTGAAAACTGAATCATTCGACAAAGATGTTGACAAACACATCATTTCCATCGAAATTCAAGCTTCGCCGAAAACGAATTCATGATCAAATGCCCAACTCTTATCTCCATCGAGATATCTCCCTTCTTCTCCTCCTCGTTCAATTGACTTGTTTGGGTTAGGAATCCAGGAAAAAAAATGGTTTTGTTATAAAATACTATCGCCTTATTGTTGCATATATTGTGGCACTTTATGGCTAGAAAATGGAAATAAACAACAACAGCATAGAAAAAAAAATGTCCGGCCAAGCTGAGTTAATCACTATTTTAGTTTCTGTTGGGATTTTCGCTGTTCCCTGAGCTGAGCTACTTTCAATTTTGACATTAATTGTGTGGAATTGTACAACCAGTTGCCCTGTGAATGAAAGAATCACCGAAATCAAACCAGATTTTCGTTAAAATAGCGCACAAAGAAGAAAAAGAAGATATTGAGCGGATAAAGAATACGTACAATCATAAGCATGCAATTTAGTAGGATAGGTATTGAGAATACGGTCGATATAAACAGTCCATTGCTGTCAAAATACTGTTGACGGGAAAATGTTCTCCAGTGCCGAGCGGCCAGTTCGTTGATTGTTTCCGAAAAGTACACTAATAACACTGAAAAGCGAGACAAAGAGAAATGCACCACCAACAAATTTATTATTATTCCAATTGTATGCAATTATTGGATTGATTTGCAATGAGTTGAGCTTACATAAAACTAAAAATAAAATCACTTGAAATAGTGAATGATTTCGTGTGCAAATGGCTGCTGTTGTGGTTCCAACGTGAACAAGCATCAAGGCAATCAACCAAGGATCATACCAATCAATCTATGAGGCAAAAAAAAAAAATATTTCGAGAACAAAATCAAACATTTATCGATTTCAATTAGTTACGTATGGTAGAAAAATTGCAATTGAAAATAGACAAATCGAACGAAACACCCACAAATTATGTTTCGTTCAATTTTTTTAATTAAGTTTGTATCGATTGCAAAACAGCCGTTGCCTCCAATGCATTGGCAGAGTGTGACCGATTGTGCGACAGTCAAAAAACACTTACACTTTTCAAATAACCCCAATAGTCAACGATTTCATCACCATTTACAAATTGTTCTCGATCCATATTCATATGTTTCGTTATACTGAGAACATGCCAATACGGTTCAATAATATATTGGAATTAATTGACGTCAACACACTTAATTTGCTTTTACCCGTTTCTTTTAGAATAAATATCACTTTATCTTTTCTTCTTTTTTTTATCTATTTATCCCCGAAGGTTTAAATCTTCTCCTAATTTCGTTTCGGTAAATAAAAATAAAACGGTTCAATCACAACCAACAGCGGTAAGATGAATTATGAAGACGGAAAAAAAAGTAACACCAACCAAATATCTAATATTACGTTGAATATGTTATGACGACTTCGGTCGCCAAATTTCTAACTTTCTGTCTATCTGAGTTGTGTTTACAAAACACCAGTAACATTTATGCTACGATATGACTTTTGTTATCATGTCAAATTTAAATGCCGTCTGCTTTGTTCCAATCGACTACAGAGAATTTCCGTAGAAAAAAAAAACGAGACGAAGAAAAAGAAAATAAACGAAAACAACAACAACACCACCCGACTCCTTTGTTTACTAATCAAAGTCTAGTAAAGGTTGCAATCGTTCCGGTCAAGAGATTCGGATACAAACAAATACTACGTTTGATTTGGTTTCTGTGTCTTCTTTTGTTTTGTTTTATTTTTGTATTATTATTTTTTTCCTTCGTTGGTTGGTTGGTTGTGAATTGACACGAGCAAATGTTTTTGCGTGTTGAATGTGAACGAGGCATTTGGCAAACTGTCAGAGTGAACAATGTCATTTTTGTGTTGGTGAATTGGAATAATAATCATAATCAGGGACACACAGCTAAAAAAAAACACACGCCAAAAAGGTATTTATTGCTTATCAGTATAGAAAAGAAAAGTAGTTCAATAAATCTGCTTGATAAAGTAACGAAAAGAATTCGAGGGGCCAGTGATTGAAAAATGTCGGACATCAAAATTAAGGTATGGATTTTGGATTTGATTCCGCGCTTTAGACGGGATTTTTTTGAGGTGTGTGTATGTGTGTGTGAGAGAGTGTATTTTTTTACAATTGTAATTTTCAGGTGGGCATTATTGGTGGCTCTGGTTTGGATGATCCCGAAATCCTAGACGAACGACGGGAAATTTACCGCGAAACGCCATATGGTAATAAATTCAATGACAAAATCACGTTCGCTCTCATCATGACTCTTTTTTTTTAATTTCGGGGTGGTTTTCTTCTCTCTCCTCTCTCTCTCTCTCTCTCTCTCTCTCTCTCTCTCTCTCTTTGTCGGAAAATTGGCATCATTTTCAGGTGCACCGTCTGATGTTTTGGTCGAAGGTAAAATCAATGGTGTCGAATGCGTTCTGTTGGCACGACATGGCCGTAAACACTCAATTATGCCATCAAATATAAATTATCGCGCAAATATATGGGCACTGAAGAACGTTGGCTGCACTCACATAATCGTCTCAACGGCGACTGGATCGCTGCAAGAGAACATCAAGCCCGGTGATATTGTCATCCTCGATAATTTCATTGATCGCACAACGAAACGTAACCAAACATTTTATGATGGCAAAGAATTGTCACCGTTTGGCGTGTGTCACTTGCCAATGGAGCCAGCATTTTGCGAGAAAACACGTGATGTTATCATTCAAACAGCATGCGATTTGGGTAAGTGTCCAAGATAAGACTATTTGGTATCAGTATAAAGAAAATAGATTATTCCATTTGCGGATATTGAACAAAAAAAAAAATGCAGAAGCCAGGCATAAGTAATTTAATTTTCATTTAATTTTTGCTAGGCATACCGGTGCATGACCGTGGTACGGTTGTAACAATCGAGGGACCACGATTCTCCAGCAAAGCCGAAAGTTTGATGTTCAAGCAATGGGGTGCGGATGTTGTGAATATGACCAGTGTACCCGAAGTAGTGTTAGCCAAAGAAGCCGGTTTGTGCTACGGTGCCATTGCCATGGCTACCGACTACGATTGCTGGAGATCGCATGGCAATAAAGTCTGTGTGGCCGATGTACTTGCTATGTTCAAAACAAATGTGAGCAAAGTGACACAATTGCTGCTTCAAACCGTTGTAAATATCGCCAAGGAGGACTGGACTGAAACCATTAACGAACTGAACAAAACAGTTGTAGAAAGTGTTATGTTGCCTCACAACTGAAAAACCTTAAAAACCTCATTGTCCTAATACACAAACAATACCAAGAACAAACTACTTTAAACGTAACAAAAAAAAAACCTTTTTACACACCAGACCATGTCCTCCCATACTCTAAAAAAAACAATGAAAAAGCAACAACATTTTGCCGCTATAAGCATTTGATGATCTTACAAATGATTATCACATTCCTAATTTATTATAATTTATCCTTATGGAACATGCCAAAACTGAAATTGTATGAATTTTATCGCAGTAAAATATGAAAAAACTAAACACCATTGGTCATTTTTCTGCCTGTTTCGTAAAGAGAGGAGTTTGCCGTTTCGAACGGTACAATCGTAATACCGTTTGGTCCTGTGATTTATTCGTTGCATTAACCGTGTGAATGAGGCTTAATGCTAAAGTCTGTTTTTACAGTCTGTGAACACATACAGCTGAGAGCGCATAAAAAGAGCGACGAGTAACAGTGTATGGATTCGGTGTTCGGTGCTTTCAATGTGTTGCACAAACATGCGGTGCAAAAATGATGAGTGACAGAGAAAACCGTCTATTCAGCGACGTGTAATGTCGTTTTTTGATATGAGCGTGTGTGTATGAACGCTCTCGTGTGCCAATGTATTTGTACACGTTTTCTTCGAACACACACTCACACACACACACACACACACATACACACATCATACTCAGCCATTGACACAATAGTACGGAAGCGTAAATACGTGTTGTGCATGTATTTCTATGTTTTCAATGCAAAGTGCGACGAATATTTTGAAAGCAAGCAAGAAAAATGTTCAAGCAAAGCGCCTGTATGTCAATCACAACAACACACACCGTCAAAAAAGAAAAAGAAAAATCGACAACAACAGCAGCATCAAAATAAGTAATAAATAATACTATAAAGAGCCTACACGGAAGAATCAAATGAAGCGATCACACACAAAATATATAAACACGAGATAGAATAAGACGGAATTAAATAATAGAAAAAAAAAGAAGTAAAATAGAAGTACGAACAGAAACGAAACGAAACGAAATAAAAAAGAAAAATTAACAAAACAAATAAGTGTAAAGATTTTGCGTGTAAATTTTGTGTTCACACAACAACAAGCTACAAGTTTATTATTACATTTTCTGCGATTTAGTTTTTCGTTGGTTTTATATTTTTCGTTAATTGGACACGCAAAAGAGGTGAGCGAGAGAGAGAGAGAGAGAGAGAGAGAGAGAGAAGTGAAAGAAGACACAATAATAATAACAATAACAAAAACGCGTTTGTATTTCACTCGAATCGCAAGAAGGAAGAAGAAAAAAAAACCAAAACAAAAATAATCAGAATCGTGGCGATTTTGGAAGACTAGTGAGAAAACCAATCGCAATCGAATGTGAAACTATTGTTGACTGAATCGATCGAAAAATATCGAAAATTGTGTTTTTATTCAATTTTTCCTGTTGTTCTTCTTTTCACTCGTTGGCATCAATAACAAAAGAAAATAATATTAAGTTGGAAAGAAAAAGAAACGAAAATTCGAAAACGAGAAAAGTGAATTGTGTTATTTTTGGGGCCGCACCACAAAAAAAAGACCTGGTGCTTGAAATTGGGAAATTATTTGCAACAAATGTGGTGTGACAACAAACATGAGTTCCGATATTACTGTAGCTCATATCCATGGATTGCTTGAAAATTTCTCGAAAAACGTCTATCGAGCCAAAGACTCGGATCAAGGAACATTGGTGAGTTGTATTGAGCAAACGGAGACGGGTGCTTTTGAACAATTTTTTTTCAATAGATTTTTTCATTCCTTCATTTGAGAAACGGAAAGTAAACGTTGGATTGCCTTATTATGTGTGTTGTCATGATCGATAACTATTTGAAATAGTCAAGAACGCCTAGAAATGCAATTGCAGTGTACAGAATGCATATCGAATGCCAATCATTGTTGTTTCAAACAGACACTCATGCCTCTCATTACGATCACAACAACGAACCGAACAACAAAAACAATATCGTATATAATAAGCAAATCAGTTTTATGTGCATGAGATATTTCGATGAAGCCAGGGTTTTTTGCGTACCACATTCGATGACTTCAATCAAATGCTACGACACCGTTTTCATTTATATCTCTCTTTTTCTTTATGCTTAGAATTTCATACACACATACGTTTATTACGTTTTTTTCTTCTGCGTCTTCGGTGTGCTACTCATTTTGCTCACGGCAAAGAACAAGAGAAGAATCTAAAGAGAGAAAAAATAAATGTAACAACATGAATGTTTGAATCAAACACCAAATTTTATTGAATGTGAAATCGGACGATGTTTGTGTCAACGGTGTTGTGTTGAACATTCTTCAAGTGATAGAGAAATGGTATACTCTACGTAAGCCACACAATAGAATTCCAAAAATGCCACCTGCTCTAGGCACAAAGTGAGGTTATGTCATTCAACCATGCTAAAGAGCAACATTACATTTATTTTTATATTTGTAAACAATATGGTTTCGCATGACCAACAAACAGCCAATCAGTTTTGGAACAAAACTAAACTATTGTTCAATTCATGAATTCAACGGAAAATCACATTTTTAACAAGAAAAATAATTTCCTTTCGCTACAAATGGGAATAACAAATATTCTCTCTAATTCTCGTGACACATTTCAAAACATGAAACTCTTTGGAAATTAGAGCACTATCGAATGACTGGTTTTGAGTCATTTCGGCCCACACATGATGGGTTTTTTTTTGTAGCTTTTAAGTTATGATTTTACTCGTTTTTCTTTGGAATTATCCATGAAATCTCGTGTCATCATTATTCCACTGAAAATTTCCGACTTTATTTCTATGGTCTTGGTTTTTTCTTTCAATTCTAAATGATGATATGAGTAGCACTCATACTCTCAATTATAGCGTGCATGGTCTGATTCATTGCACAAAAACTGCAATTGATAATGTGCTTTTTTTCTTTATTTATTTGTTTTCGAAACGAATAATTTCGAATGTGTTTTTTTTCTGTTCATGATCAACTGATCCCTTATCGCGATCAAACATTACAAAAATATTCATTATTCATTTAATTCCAACTGCGTATCAATTGTGATGATCGTTGGAATTAAATTCCGAATGCTTCCGATCAGCATAATTTTATTGCTGCATTTGCGAAATACCAATTGCATATTTTGAGCATTTTAGTTATTTTCATTTTCAAGTTTACAATCGGAAATTGCGACAGAGTCGATTGTCGATAACATGAATTATTTCCAAACAGCTGACATAGTCAATTCGGTTGGCGAACAAAGAGCCAAATTGTAATTTCTTTGTCATTTCCATAAACTTGTGACTTAAATTCCCACATGATTTGGTTTTTCTCAGTATACCAGCCCTGAGTCAGAACTTTTGACTCATACATACGTATATCTCGAAAGAAAGGAATGTTTTGATTTCAAACGCTGAAAATATGTTGAGAATTTTATTTTTTAAATGATAAAAAAAATGTTATGAAAGATAATTTTTCCCATAAATGGCTCTGTAGTATTTCATCGAAACATAACTCTTTTTTTTTACAGAACAATGATGTGATGGAAAAATGCTTGAGTTTGTTCCAGTTGGACTATAATACGGTTGAAATATCGAATCGTGCGGGTGAATTGTCTTCCCATTATCCGAGCCTGATTGTGATACCTGAAAATGAGAAACAAAAACCGAATGGCCTTAGTTCAACAATACAATCATGTTCGACCACCACCAGCAATGGCTCATTAACGCCACCACTGTCATCAGCCGCATCATCAGTGTTTGGCATAAGCAATATCAGTGTTGCATCGTCAAATGCATCGTCACAGCGTACGCAACAGCAAACCATTTATGAAAATTCATATGAACCGAATAAACTCCGTGACCTGATCAATAAAGCGCGTTTTGCACGCAGCCGAACACGTTTCCCCGTGCCGGTCATTTTGTACAAGGGTAAATTTGTATGTCGTTCATCGACACTCAGCTGTGGACCCGAACTCTACACACGAAGCAGTTTCAACTATTTGTTCAATACTGGGCCTGGTGCCGCCAAACAATCCGGTTCAGACGATGTCGATTTATGCGGTGAAGGTGTGTGTGTGTGTGTGTGAATGATGATTTTCGATTTTTTTCCTATTTCTAAATTCACATTCATATCATTTGTTTTTCCAGATAGCGACGATGCCATTGAGGTGAATGAAAGTTTTACGGACGAACAAGAAGATGGCAATAAATCGAATTCCGATTGGCCTCTATTCGATCATGTGCGAAGTCAAGATATTCGTCTGTTGAAAACATTAAACGTTGGCACTATCGTTGATTTCATGGTTGAAAAGAAAAAAGTGAAATTTGGTTTGAAGTAAGTGTGGGCATTTTAGTTTAACATTCAACCAATTTCAATCAATTCTACTGTTATTTTTCCCATTTAATGAGCTCACTAATGCAAAATTTTCACTCGTTCAATTGTTTTTTTTTTCTTTCAGAGTAACATCGTCCGAAAAGGTGGATAAAGAGAATCGATACTCCGAATTCACATTGATATCGCTGCCTTATCCGGGATGTGAATTTTTCCGCGAATTCAGAGACAATAACTACTCGCATGAGTCGTTGGTGTTTGACTGGAGTCAAACACATGTAAATGCAGACATTGGAATTCCAACCGATTCCATAACAACGCAATTGCTGCACATTAACTGGGATCACTACAAAGTGTGGGATCTGGTGACAATAACACAAAATTATCTAAAACTTTGTTTAAAGTATTTACAAGATAATAGTTCGGGTCTTCTGATTCACTGCATCAGTGGATGGGATCGAACGCCGTTGTTTGTTTCGTTATTACGTTTATCACTTTGGGTAATCATTTGAAAAATGCCGTTGCCATTGGAATTCAGTACTCTCCGTTGGTTTTATTCATAACTTTCATTAAATTAATTATATTTTTCTTTGGTAATTCATCCCTCCAGGCTGACGGTGTGATACATCAATCGTTGAACGCAACGCAAATATTATTTTTGACACTCGCCTACGACTGGTTCTTATTCGGCCATGATTTGCCCGATCGTTTGACCAAAGGCGAAGACATTTTCGTATTTTGTTTTTATGCGTTAAAATATATTCAGGAGGAAGATTTTAGTGTTATAAGCCACAGGTAAGTGTTGAGCTCATTGGTTTTTTTTTGTGTCCGAATTGTTAGAAGAAAGATCAACCAATTGATATGCATATATGTAATTCAGTAGCGTTTCACATTTCAGACATAGAAGTAAGCATAGTAGCGGAAGTAGCAGCATTGCTGTCATTCCTCAGGACAATGAATCAAATATGGAAAATCTACAGTTCGATATAGATAGTCGTGGCTCAAGCATATCACTTAGTTCCGGTGGCAGTCAACAAGATATCTACCAACAAAAACTGTCCAGCAATGACATGCACGAAAACACAAACGGGTAAGATGACAGCGCACCGATTTCATTCATGCGATGCAACAGCATTTGCCTTGTTCTCAACATTGTGATCAGACCTTAATACATAGACATACACATGCAGACAGACTTGGATGAAATTTGTTCACATTAACAATAGAGTGCGACAATTAGTGTGTAGGAAACAATAAGACAATGAATACAAATTGAATGGACACAAGTCCCTAATTTCTATCATTTTTCCAATATCGATCTCAATTCAATCATTTTTCTTTCAAAAAACTTCATTAAATTCCGCTCAAATTTCGTATGTCATTCCAGAAATATAGCAAATTTATCGATCAACCAAGATAGCAACAGTAGTATAGAAATCTTACCAGAGCCACCAGTAGCGAATAGTAATTCGCCGATTTCAAAGCGGTTAGTATCAAAACATAGTTTATTCATGTGTGTTGATGAATTTGAAGCAAAATTGTTTCGATTTTTAAATGGCCTTTTCATTTCTCTCTCTCTCTCTCTCCCTCTTCAGAAGGACAAGTCCTGTAACCGTGCCGTATTCGTCGATGCGTCAACGAAATGAATCGACATCATCCGTTGGTAGCTGGCAGATGGTGAATCAATCGGGTAGCCTGCGTAGTACTGACTCCAATAATTTATTGCTAAATCTGCGATCACAAAATTCCAATTCACAAGAATCGAACACAACACTGGTCGATGATGACATTTTTACGTACAATCAGAATGCGGTATTTATGTAAGTGGCGTTTGTTTGTTGGTGTTTTAAATCGAAATTTATTGACCGTGACACATTTGAAGTGATACTGAATTATTCTCTTATCATTGCAGTCGTCGACGTGATCGGTTGCAGTCCGTTCGAAGCACGTTCTATTCTGCTTATTGCAAGGCCATCGGTTTTAAATACAAAAACGGTGCTGAGCTATCGTCACTGGGAAGTATGCTGGGAAATATTGCCGAACGTGTTGGATTCTCTCAACGAACTCAAATGTAAACAACAATAACTCTTCATTTCTTCTGTATGGAATTTGAACTGTGACGACTTTCCTTCTTTTTTCTGGCGATAAATTTGACAAATTTCAACGAAATGCATTCGAACATCATTTCGTGAACAATAAAATGATGTGTTCATACGATTTCATTGCTTTTCCCGATATTTTTTTTCTTCTTCTGTTTTCTTTTTTCATTTTTTTTTTTGACAAATTTCATAATGTGTATATTTTGTTTCTCACGAGAAGCGTATCAATTTGATGTTCCCAAATTCTTTATATAAATTATTTAAATAAATGTTTATTTTTCAACTTCTTTTTCGTTAAGTGGTGACAAGGAAGAAGCAGAATGATATAAAAAAAACTGCTTTCAAGTGTAGCGACATGTTGACATTATTTGTTTTGATTTCTCCCTTATTTCCGATATGAGATAGACAATTGTGAACCATTGAGTAGAGCTCTTTGTTTTTCTACTACAAACATATGTGAGCAAACATGGGAGCACACCGCTTATATTCGAACACATGGTTGGACGTTTCGATTGCACGTGCCGTTTGTCACACACACCCATACACATTATATACACCACACACTTCATAATTTGTATATAAGAAATGAAATCGCAATTTATTTTAGTTGTAATTTAGCGAAAATTTTTGTATAATATTTTATTATTGGAAATTGTTTTGTTAAGTTCGACAAATGAAATATTAAAGAAAAAGGAACACATTTATTGAGATGAAAATTAATGCAAATTGGTATTTGTTTCTTTTTATTCTTCGTCTTGTAATATATCTCATCTTGAAAATCATCAAGATTGGATCAAAAATCAATCGTTCGATGTTGCGTCAATAACTCAGCATTTTCAGGTCACGTAAACAGCTTCGTCATCGACGTCGTCGTCAAAGATCATTCGCTTTCGCTAGGTAAACTCATCCATACTTATATGATATACTTTGTATGTTCAGAATGTCAATGACAACAACGTCGAATTATAACGTTGATGCGACTGAGAGAGAGAGAGAGAGATGTCGCTCGGTTAATGAGGTGCTGGTTTATCAGGAGTGCCTTGTGAAATAGTTGTTTTTCCTATTGTCTTGTCTCGGGTGTCACTAGACATGCTCGATTTGAAATACATAGAGACACATTCTGTCCATACTTAATTTATAACCAAATGTTGAATGTTAAATTCCATAACACGAGCACATCTCGAGCAAATGACTCGAAAATTTGGGTCAGTATGTGTATTCATTCATGGAATTTTGTGATAAGAACCGTTTCAAACTATCATAAACAGGTATCTTGCTAAAAATGATATCGGTTTTTACATCTCGTTCAAACGTTACCATTTTTCCGTGTATTGAAGTCCATGCATGGTCTAAATGCATGCTGTCCGATGAAAATCCCCATGATTTCGATTAAAAAATTATTTTGATTGAAAATGATTTTGGTTTTTAATCAAAATGCGGATATCAACTCATGACCTAAAATATTCAAAGGAGAAAAAAAACTGATGGACACGATCAAAGAGAGAATCGAAATCTTCGTTCTAGAGAATCGAAATCGCTGTTGTTCGCAAAAACCATAAAGAAAAATGCCGGAATTTTTATTTGAATTGTGTTTATTTGTGGGTTGTTTTAAGGTATAAGGATACATAGGTTTTCTTTGTTTTTTTTTTTTACTTCTTTAATCGAATATGACTTGACTGTCACTCAAGCATTTCGTTTAACAATATAGTTTGCTGTCGTCTAATCGCTAATTGTGTTTGTTTTTCTCTTTAAATTGTTACAACTTTGATAATATGGATAAAATGTTAGAGACATCGCAAAGCTGAATATTAAACCTATGCCTCATTCTCGGTATAAAATAATACTCGATAAAAGAGGTATCAATTTTTGTTGTTGTTTTGCTTCGTTAAAAAATATAATAATAATGAATCGAAAAAAAAGACAAAATAAAAAATAAAATGGAGAAAAAAGGAAAAGAAAACACATCGATTGGCAAAAATAGACAAAGATGGTTGCTTGTTTTGTGTTCGATCCGAATTAAAAAAAAAACCCAGAGAGTTTGATTAATAAGCTAAAGGAAAAAAAAATAAAAAAATTTCTATCACAAAATTTTTTGAAATGAAAAGCTCGTATGCGTTTCAAATTTTCTCGCCATGCTATGCACCCATTTCTTTTCCTCTTTAGAAAAAAAAAACCGGATTCATTTCCTCTTCCGAAGGATGCCGTCCATTTCACAGAATACTATATGATCTATATGATGCGGAAAGCAACACAACTGAATTGAATGATTATTTTTCTTCTTGTTGTTGTTGTTCTATTCACCAATCGATATATTTTTCAATCGAGCGTCGAATGTTGTCCAGCTTATTCAAAACACAAATATGTTTGAAGAAAAAAAATAATAGAAAGAGTGTTTTGAAATTGAACAAAAATACGCTGGGTCCGATTTTACACTCTGGTATTTATATAATATATGTAATAAACAATTTTTTTTTCTATTCTCTCATTTTTTATATACATGTTTTTTTTTTATTATTTTTTTTGCCACGTTTTATAAATTTTTTTGTTGCCACGTTTTCTTGAACATTTTTCTTAAATTTTTTTTGGTATTTTTTTTCCAAAATTTGTCATTTTGGTCATTTTCAAGGGCATTACTCTACTAATGATGTTAGTTATTCAATAAAGTTGTATCTTCATGATGTCAATTTTTGTTTTCATATCATAAATCGCAAATTGTCTAGATTCAATAATTTTGTTGTTGTTTATCTCTTTAAATGTGCTGTAATTTGTGGATAAAATGTGATTGAAGAGTGTGTATGTGTATGAAATTGTGTGTGTGTGTAAAGTTTACAAGTTCAATTAAATATGTTGATAAATTGTTTGTTTTTTTTTTTCTTTTTCTTTCTGCGTAAATTTCGGTGTTGCAGAAGATGTTAAAGGCAGCCGAAAACACGCTAGCTCCGACGTTTTCTGGTGATGATGTTGTTATTTGTTGTTGCTGTTGTTGTTGCTTTGGTAATGTTGATATCTCGATGATGGCTGTTGATTTAATCGTCTTCGATTTTATAGATGAGGAAAAGATTGTTCTCGGATCCGCTTTGTGGTGGTGCCAATTGAGATTTTGGCGACAATGGTTGAAAGCCAAGAAACAAGAATGTTCGTACCAAATTCGGACGATCGGCGCGATCTTTGCGCATGCACAACACAACGGCGTCAACATCTAATTTCTCTTCGGCAAATTCCAGCAATGTGATGAATGATTGCTTGGATGCTTCGGGCAAGAGAACCGTTGGTAATGCAACATATAAAATATTATTTTCGGGATTTAAAACGGTTTCCCAAACGCTGTATGTTGCTTCGGTGACATGCAACTTTAATGTTATGCGAATTGGTTTTTTTTGATGTAAAATACGTTTCACAACTTCGTCGCAGTCATCTTCGGACATTGATACAGCAGCATGACCGTCATTCTTTGCAGCCGATGGTGCAGCAATTTCGTCGTAAGTTTCAGAAAAATCAATATCGGAGAATTGTGATGAACTTGTTGAATCTAGTGATGTTTTGCGATTGATTTCTGTGTCGAAAGTGGGGAGAAAAAAAAAGAAATGATGAGCAAACGAATCGATTGAGATTGAAAGGAACAATGTATGAACCATTAATAGGAAAATAAAATGATGAACAAGATTTGCTTACCGTTTAGTAGAGATGCCCTATCGTGATCAGTTCTGTGGTGGTTGGTGACATCACCCCCACCACAGAGGCCCTACAGAGAGAGAGATGGAGTAGGATTCGTTCGTCATGGTCGAAGAAGTGGAAGTATTGCGTTGCTTACGTTCAATACTCCTTTTACTACTACTACTACTACTTAACGGGTCACTGAAAATCGAGAAAAGAGGAAAAAAATAGGTAAGAAATTCAATATTTTCAATATTAAAATATCAAATCAATATCATTGAAAAATCATTTTTATCGATTGCCCGAAATCGAAATTGTCAAAACAATTGTCGACAACACAGACTGTATCTGATGTGATAATGTTGAACATTTTTTGGGATAATCATGCAATGTCAACAAGTCAATATTGTTGACACAAAATTCCGAATTCCTTCTGAGCCACATAAAAAATCAAACATCCATGAGCATGACGTATTCAATTGTTTAAATCATTCGGTAAACATCTTTTGAGCGAAAAAAAAAATACACACTTTAAGTAAACACTCGAGTGTGAGACGGCCTCATGCGCATTATTATTTGCACAGCAAATAGGAAACGTAATTGATGGAAAAATCCCACCAATGAACCCATCCAAACAACAACAAATCAAAGATAACGCAATTTATTAACGCTATCAATCGATAAAGATATATTCTCCTATAGGAGACATATTTGTTTCTTTGATTCTTTCAAAGGCATTGTTCTTGAATTGCATCTAACTGGACAAAGTATTGCATTTGATTCAAGTAATGAAAGCAAAAGGAAGTTGTCGACTGGTTGAGCAGAAAAATGAAGAGTAAGACAATAAAATATCTCGCTTGATAAGTTGAATTTATGGCACCTCAATTGATTGGCTTTTATTCGGTGCGCCTTTATCACACCTGTGGGGAGTCATATTGTTTAAACGATTCAATGACAATCTGTGCCGCACATACATTCCACATGTTGCCGTAAAGTAACAGTCATGACAAGATAAAATTGAAAATGAAATAAAAAACAACAATCAAAGCAACGTGTGATTAACATTTACAACGTGGCCACTTATCATGCCATTTATTGCACGCAGTTTAATAATCAATTCGAATGAATGCTTCAATTGCTTCCACGTTCAACGAATTAAAAAGCCTACAACAACTGCAAGTTATTCACAATTCCGATGAATGCACGAATGGCGAGATAAAAAATTTCACAAAAATGCTCGAAAATATCGATTTTTGAATGGGATTGAAGAAAAAAAAATCAAAATTTCGAATGGAATCGTAAATGCGATTATTTCGCCTGCATCAAAAGCGATAAAATGAATGGAATTACGTATCAAAAATTTTAGCTATGGCAACCGTTTGACTCTGTGATGACGACATAGCGAACCAATCGTTTCAAATGCCATATTTTTTTAGTACAAATTTTACAGCAGAACGCTTATTTCATGGGGACGTGCAAAATCGAACATGCAAATTATTTTGTTCAAATTTTTACATCAATCTTTTGCATAATCTAAAGAGATAATAAATTTGCTATCTGTCGGTGTGGTTGCGGCATTCTGAAGCAGTTATCATAAGTTTTTGATTCTAATCAGATGAGATTGGTTGGGAAATACAATGCAAAATCGTCTGATACGTGATGAACACACACGAATGTAATAAAGAAGAAAAAGTCAAACAAATTTTGCTGATTGCCTGATCACATGCTCGCCGCCCGATTGGCGTAAAAGAAGTTTACACGAGCAAGCGATGACAAAGGCAAAATTGATTAAAACGCTCGAACTAAACTGGATGTAAGCAATTTTTGAATGAGTAGACAACTGTATGGTTGATGTACGCTATATTGTGTTTAATTGAAAATTACACGGCCTTTTCGTCCCGTTCCACATGCACACTCAATTTTCATTGTTTTGTCCCACAATGTTGACTTGAGAATTGCTTTGCAGAAAATTAAAAAAAAATCAATATTTGCTAATAAGAGGGCTTTGTTGATCGATCGAATTGTCCGTAGTGGGTCATTAGGTTCAATTGGAAGCCAATCAATGCTAATTTCAAAAAGAATTCTCTGTTCAAATGCCCGATTCCCCAATAGTGCAAAGGGAATCAGTGCCATTATCTATTTCAAGTTAAAAGTGGTTTATTCTTCCAAATTGTCCCATCCATATTTGAGCAACTCAAACTGAGCTACTGTGTAATTTATTATCATCGTTTTAGATACTGACAATAAGACGGATTGTGTTTATGAGATTAAACAGCAAGAAAAACACCAAACAACTGCTTGTGATAAGAGCCAAGCCGTGCTATCTAATCGTGCGTGTGTCAGCAGCGATTGCAATTCAATTCGAAATCAGTCTGTTCGCATATTTCAGAAGCAAAAACAAAATTTAATCATCTGATACGTGCTGTGTTGAGTCATTAAAAAGAACCGAATGTTTAACCGTCTTTTTTTTCTCGACGCATTTCGATCGACGAAAGAAATATTCCGTTTCGATATAAAGTCGATAAACAAATGCAAATCAAATAAACAATGCATTTAACAAGCGATTTGCATTATTAAGGATTTTTGAGCTGAATTCTCGATTTAAGTGAGAGAGAGAAAGAGAGAGAGAGAGAGAGAGAGAGAGAGAGAGAGAGAGAGAGAGAGAAACGTGAATCGAAACGAAGCAAGTGTTTCATATTATAAAACACTGTAAAACACCGTTTAAATGTCGTTAAGCATGTATGAACGCCGTTTCATGCACACATCAAGTACATTTGACCTTGGCCGTTGGAGTACCAATATACACGGAAAAATCCATATAGCGACAGGCGAGAGCAGCGTCAAACAATTGACGAGTATTGCGATGGTGTGCACGAGCGCTAGAGAGTGGAAAATGACACAGAGTTGTATATCAAAGAACACAAGTCAAATTGCACTTGCGTCAGTCAGAATATTTCAGCAGTTTATTTATGAACGTTTTGTTTTGTCGAGAAAAAATGACGTAGATATTCGTTCCTTCTAATTCCTTCTTTTTCATATGTATCGTTTTTCAAACAACGTTTTGTTTATGTTCGGCGCAAAAGTCTATTGTCAAAATAACGGACCAAAGTTCGGATTGTTGTTGTTTTCTCTCTCTCTCTCTCTCTTTTTTTCTCGTTCGCTTCCACCAACACTGGCTCAAAACATTTTTGCTTGAATGTTTATAAATGTTTCTGTTTCTCGCTGAGCAAGCAAACAAATTCGAAACGAAATATGAATAGCGCGACGAAAAGTAGAAGAAGCAAGAAAACGAAAAAAAAAATCAAATCAAAAATAGATAATCAAAAGGCATTGTTTTGTCCGTCTCTTTCATGTGCACATATGAGCATTTCTAAAAAATTCCAGACGACAAAAAAAACATACACAAACGTATGCAAAAAAGGAGGCCTAGTAACATACCAAATTTATCTAAGTTGGTTACTAATTAAAAACCGATTGCAATGGCAAAGAAAAAAAAAACGAGAAATATCGAATGAAAACGAAATCAATTCGAAAAAGACTTGGTCACGTCATATAGTATTTGATGCGTATTAAATACGCATGTATCGGACCTCTCGACTGTTTTACACATTGCTGATGATATAGCCATATGGATATCTATATTTATATACACACAACGAGCGCACACAGTACAGTACAGTACAGTACGGTGCGGTGCGGTAAAGGAAAATAATATGAAGAGAAAAAAAAATCAAGATGGCCGCCATGTGAAAAACTTGCTGTATGAATAATATTTTTGTTATCATAAGGAAGTGTGCTTTCTACATTCATTATATATATAAAATTATTATATGTTGAGTTCATGGGCTCTCTCTTGCACACACAAAATAATTTTTCAATTTAATACGCAACAATAATTTAGACACTTATTTTCGGGCTACTTACAGATTACTGTTAATTATTGATGGCATGGTATTTCTCAATGGTTGCAACTTTAATTGAACTTTCAAAAACAAAAAAGTTTTCGTACGCTTTGTATCTTTTTTGATAGCCTGGGTATAGCTTTGTAGTCGCTGTGACTAAATTCACTGTGTGTTATCCGGTGGACAGTTAGTGATTAACTAAAATGTTACTCTGAATGCTATGCTCCTATTATACAATGGTGCGCAATCGAATGCGACAAAAGAATGTGTGTATGAGTAAGACATACATACGGAACACATTCACAAATACACACACACACACACACAAATGACAGTGTGTGATGATGAAAAAACTGAGCAAAATCCATAGCCCATTTTCATTTACAATACGCTCTCTTTTTACAATACATGAACAAATATAACAGATTCAATCAAACAATGTCGTGAAAATGACCGATTTTTATTTGTGTGGCATATAGATGGCAACCGAGAAGTATTGCCTGATGCGTAGATTGGTCAGCGTTCTCTCTTTCGCAGCAACTTCATATTGTTGTAATAAATATTCCTTTGTTTTGACATAACTCATGTCAAATTTTGTTCAAAACAACTAAATATTGAATAATAAAGTCCAATCTCATTTCAAATCGTAATATTTCAACTGGATGAACAAAAACAGGTAAAGCTTATAAAAGTAAGTCAAGTGCTATATTCTAAAATATTTTCCTTATAGTTTTGCAGATTAAAATGAGTGGCACCAAAGATGAAGATGCATCCCGAGCTGTCCCCGACAGTTTTGAAAAAGTGTATAATGAATTTATAAGAGTTTGCCCTGAAAATCCACACAAAATTGGGAGTAAAGATTATTTTTTATTCGAAACGCAACAAATACGTAATTTAGAAGCAAAGATTGATGAAGAACTTGAATTATTACGCCATCGACTCGGACCGAATGACGGCACATAATACAATATCATATTGAATTTCGAACCAGAGATGAAAGAGTCTCGCAAGAGGATGGAGCTAATGGGAAAAAGAAACAGTAAGAATGTGCCTTCTACGTCCACTTCAATTGAAATTATTCTATCGTTCTCTCTCTTTATCCAGACAATGGGCATCCAGCTCAGGAGGAAGTTGGAAACAAGCCTGAAAATCAAAATATTATCGCAATCAATCCCGATGATGAAAAAAGCGCCTAGATTGGGCTTTAACTTCGAAATTCTAAAATAAAATGCAACATTCAGTTCTATGAAAATGTACCATGACGGTTGATTTTATTTGAATAAAACAAAATACCAGATACTTGAATGTTCCGGGTAAAAATTCAGTTTTAAGTTTTTGAATAAGTTGGTTTTTAATGGTGATGTTTTCCATGGTTTAAAAACAAAAAGACAGACTACAACAAAAAAAAAACCTTTTCGCATGATTTGTGGTAGTCGCTAACAGCAATTGACCGACTCATGATGAACAATTCAAACACAATCTTTCTTGTCTTTCTTTCTTATCTTTCGATAGTCTAATGACTAAATTTATTTACACATTTAAATTAACTTGAACATCGGGCACATGTTAAAACGAATTAGGCAATATTGTCTTCATCGTCATCTTCATCAAGAGGATCTACTGGTTTCTTCTTCAAATGCTCAAAGTCTTCCAATTTAAAGTTCACCATTTCCGTGATATTGCTGCTTCGAATAATTTTGGCTTTTTAAATTCCACTGGCCAAAGCAAATTGTTGAGCTGGCGTTAGCATATCAATTTCTGAATTCTGTAACCCATATGACTCCTTTGTGCCTTTTCCACATGAATATACCCATACTGTTTATGAAATGAAAATGTTATTGAAAAAATCAACGATTGTCAACAAAACTCGTACTCATTTACTTACCGATATAGCCGAGCATATTCCAAGCACACAGTGTTGCAAACGTAGTGAAAACGGACTGTGGCAAAATCCAAATTGAGTTCTCACACACAAACGTTGTGTACGCGTGTTGTCCGATGCAATGCAACAAAATTTAAAATTGTTTGTAAACAAAAATTTGGGGTTTTCTTTCCCATTAGAAAATTAATCAAAATTTAATTTCTTCACTTATAGTTTTTGTGGAGAAAAAATTGCTGCAAAAAAATGCACGGAAAAAATGGTCTGTATTTGAATTCATCCATCGAGTAATGCTGATGTAGTTGAATATGGGCAGCCATTTTCGAGATGGTAACATCGTTGCGAGTAGGCAGAAGTGACAGTAGCATAGTAATTTACATCTAACGACAGGGAGACCTGCAGTAATAGAGAAGCTGTCGTCAAATTTATTCAAACATCACATCACCATCAGTTAAAAGCTGACTCAATAAAATCACATTTTTGTCGTGTGCTTTTTTTACTGTTTCCGAACATCCACATTCCACGCATTTCAACAAATTTACCATCAATTTTTTGAGCCTTTTATTTTCAGTAACGTTTGTTTTGAAATTCAACTCGTTCGCATTACGTCAAATTAACTGACAGTTCGGATTGAATGAGTGGCAGTCTCCAAAAAGACAACAACCGTTTTTTGTGCTTCAAACAAAACTTCATGCGAAACAACGTACAACGCATACATTGACAAACACAGTGAGTGCACACGAATTCAGATCGACACAATAAATTTCATTTGTAATCATCGATAAAATAAAACAATGGTAACAATTTTTCGCATTTCTTCCAGAAATCAATCTTTTTATTCTCGATTTTTTTTGTCGTAAACCAATCTTATTCAAAATAATTTAATGGACATTTTTGTGATTTTCTCTTTCAATTTACCAAAATATAGGCAAACTATACAGAAGATCAATTGGCCGGTGAGTCATTAAACCAAATTTCTTTCATACCTTTTTTTCCATACATATTTGCTTCAAAGAGATGACTGCTTCCGTGAAGATGAACTACCGTAAAACCAATTAAAATTTGTTTAAAATACGAAATGAGTCAATCCCAAACATTTTTGGGCAAAATTCCAAAATAGTGTGAATTGTGAGGGGAAAAGGCATTAATAATTACATATTTCCTGAATGAAATGTGAACTGTTGGGTGTGTGAAGGAGTTTTGATTTTTCTTCTACTTTGTCAATTTCGATAAGATGCAACAAACTTTTTTACGGTTGGTGCATTGTGAGTCATATTCGTTCACTTATCGTTATTGTGATATCGCTAGAGTGTTTTTTCCCTCGTGTGTGTGTGTGTGTGTGTGTTGCTGTTGTTGCTAATTGACTCCAGTTTTTGATAGTTTGCAATGAATGAGCTGCAGAAGAGACAAATGACCCAAAATCAAAAACACTTGTTGCATTTTAGTCAATATGATCAAACATTCCTTTTGAATAGCAATCTCTTAAGTGTTACACATTTACGAATAAAAACCGTTCTCACTTCCTTCTACGCCCCCCCCCCCCCTCAAAATAAGTACTTCGTTGGAAAAAAATCTACTTTTAAAGTCAATCGATCGAAAATGGAAAATTCTAGATATTTCTGCTATCGTACAAAAATGTCAACAACTGATCTCATCCAGAATAGTCGCGCTAGCATGCAAATTTTTAAGTAACATTTTATCGACTGAGAAATGAGCATACCGATTGATCGTTCCAATCAACAACTGTAAATCAAGTCTAAAACTGAAACAATAGATGGATAAAAGCCATTGAATTCGATTGTGTAGTGGTTTGGAGGTAGGTTTCCAAATGCAATGCTCTTTCCTCTCTACATTTCTGATCAAATCACAGAAAATTATTGCTTGCGATTGCTTGTGAGTCGCGATTCACACAATATACGCCTATATTGTTGATTTAAATAAAGTCGATCAGTGTACCAAGTTAAGGCGTCATATTATTATTATTATGTAATTTAATAAGACAAAGACAAGGGGGAAAACAATAACGCAATGACTCAATGTGATTGTAAATATTGTGATTTAATAAATAAGAAGCCAAATCAAATTCACTACCATAAATAGTAACAGTTGTGATCTAGCTTCTGTCTGTCTGTCGGTGTGTACGTGTGTGCACGTCGGTTTGGTTGACAATCGAGCCAAATTCTGTTATGGTACATCATACCTATAAAAATCAACTGCCATTTAAAGTAATCGTGTGTGCTGCTGTGCTACGATCAACAATTAATTTACAACTTGATGCTTTGAATGTGTGTATGGGCTGTTTTTCGTCTATCTTTGTCTCGCTGGCTGCATGGAAAAACCATATCTATATTTATGGTTTTCATAATAATTATTTTTCGTTGTTGTTTTTTTTGTATTTCTGTCTTCTTTCAAATCAAATGCGCACACCTTTCGTTCATTTGTTCGCACAATTATTGTGTGTGCTGAGACAGCATTTAATACATGGTGTGTTATTGACACATAAATAGATCACAGCACGATTTAAGGGGGAAAAAAACGCACACCGAAAATGTTTTGTTGACAGTATGTGGTAGCGCGAACGCGAGCGTAATTGAAAGTATGTTTTCATGTCATACCAAAATATTTAAACACCAATTGTCGTCAGTTAGTCATTTAAGATAGTCTCTAGTGTAAAGTGTAACATCTGCGAGATCAGCTCTTTTCTTGAGTTTCTCAAATTCCCTGTGCTCTTACTGGCTGCTGTGTTAACATCGAATAAACATGTACATGTACGATCCACCGACGAAAGGTGTTTTTAATACGGTTGAAGGTAGTCATAAAAACTGAAGCGTCACAATTATCGAAAATTTTGTCGAAAAAAAAAAACAATTTGCATTCTTGTTATTCAAATCAAATATTTTGTGAATTTTCTGAAATTAAAATATTTACAATCGTTTTACAGAATTCCAAGAAGCCTTCAACTTGTTCGACAACCGAGGTGATGGCAAAATTCAATTGAATCAAGTACGTATTTGAATTAAATTTGTTGGGACTTTTTTTTTGTCTAAATCAGATGTGTTTGGAAGTTTAAAAATCTTCAAATAACCAAATTTCATGATCATCAAACGATTACCTTCGTTCTATGACCCGCGTTTGCATCCATCTGAATTCAGTTTATTGATCATTTGTGTTTATTCTTCCAGGTTGGCGAATGCTTGCGTGCCCTAGGTCAGAATCCAACTGAATCGGATGTGAAAAAATGTACGCATCAACTCAAGCCCGATGAACGCATCTCATTCGAAGTGTTTCTTCCAATATATCATGCCATTTCGAAGGCCCGTTCAGGCGACACGGCTGACGATTTCATCGAGGGACTGCGTCATTTCGACAAAGACGCAAGTGGGTTTATTTCAACAGCTGAATTACGGCATTTACTTACGACATTGGGCGAAAAGCTGACCGATGACGAAGTCGAGCAATTGCTTGTGAATCAAGAAGACTCACAAGGCAATGTAAACTACGAAGAATTTGTTCGTGTCATCATGAGCGGTTGAAACATAGCCCCAAAATCCGATACACTTCCATTACTTAAGTCTCTTGAACGACCATTCAAAATTTAATTTAAAATTTGCAACTGAAACACATCAACTAAACGTAACACACAAGTTTCACGACTAAATCAAATCAAAACAAACACTTTAAACAATAATCTTTATACATTCTTACGTGTTTCTCACGTCTCGTTTCTCTCGAATTGCACTTGGGGCAACCGAGAGCGAGCGATCGAACGAGAGAGACAGACCGCATTTGTACTTTACGAATCACTTGAATTGTATTCAATAAGTATTGCACTTTTGCTAACAAAGAATTACAAAAAAAAAAACAGAGAAGAACAACAACAAGCAGAAACAAACATCGAACATTCGTTTTTCGTTTTTTTTTTCTTCTTTTTTTAAAAATTAAAATCTCTTTTTTAAATAAACTGTTTACATACATTTGTAATAAATAATGTCTAAAAAATAATAATCTAATTGTCATTTATTTGATTGGTTCCTTAATTGTCTAGCTGAAAGCTATGTTAAGCGCTCTTTCTAGGTGTTTTGTTACCAATGAAAATTAAAAACTCACATACAAAAATCGGGTTCATTTTTTCAAAGGAATTGGCATTTGTTGGAATCAATGTAAATCGTAGTTTTCCTTGTTTTTTTTTCTTTCGTTCGGGTGGTGGGAGAGAAATAAGGATTTCTTTCAATTTCAAACACATTCCATTTACTTATTTTTTTCTCTTTTTATCTCACGAAACGATCAGTCGCTTGTTTTAGCAGTCCTAAGTTAGCTGCCTTACTTAAAAATCCCATTCAAAGATACCACTAATACTCATGTCGGCCATCACACATGACAAACTGATGTCTTCATCTGCTAGAGAAAAGAGATTTTGATTTTTTGTTCGATTAAAACATTAATTGAATCAACCCATAGAAATGGTGAGAATAAAGAACTTTTCATTTCTCTATGGGTCGGTGTCAATTTGCATTTAAAAAAAAAATCTGAAGGATATATGCTGAGCATGAATTCTTATCTATTAGAAATATCAAATCAATCGAAAAACAATTCAAAGCGCATATATCCTCAGCTGCCTCTCATCAATTGATTTATATTTTACCTGAGCTTTGTTTGATGCAATTGTACTTGTCAATGCCAGTCGAACTGAAATTTTCCGCTAACGTTGTGCGTTTGCCCTGCTTAAAAAATGGATGGTTCTGTAGCTCAACTATATTCGGCCGATCATCTGGATATCTGTCAAAACCCATATAGATTCATTGTATTTAAAAACACCGCGCCAAAATGTCCATTGAAAAGTCGGTATATCAGTAAAACAACGCCACACATTACCTTTCCATGCATATTTCGGCGAATTTGTGAAAATGATCACTGAGTTTTCGTTCCCTATAGATTTGGTGGGTTTGGTATGCAAAATTGTTATCTATGTCTGATGTGCTGCCCGCTGAAGGTGCTGATAATGTCCAAATACAAATGTTATGAGTAAAAGAAAACAATTGTGACTGAGACGAAACGCTTATCACGTTCCGATTTTTGCTCGTGTGTGCAAAAACTAACATTTTTTTCTCTGTCTGTCTGTGTGCCATTTGCATGGATGAAATGGATAAACAAGAGAAAATAAAACGTGTTTGGAAATTGATTTGACCTACAATTTCATCGGTCAAAACTCACACATTACGTTATAATCGATATGACACTCACCGAATATTTCGTCTGGACACGTTGAACAATCAAATAGCACTGGTTGATTTCCGCGCATTTTCTCGGTCAGCATGAATGTGGTTGGCATATTTGCGAATGGTTCAAGCCCATTGGCCAATTCACACGTCGTAATGCCAATACTGTAAATATCTGACTTTTCCGTATAACCCGCTAAATTCTGTTCCAACACTTCGGGCGCCAGCCAATTTAAGCTTTTCACACTGTTTTGCGGCAAATCAAAGAGCTTTTGTGTTCGTTGTCCGTTCGTAATGAGTGTGATTGGTTCACGGAATCCGCATAAAACGGCTTTGTTCTGATTGATTAGAATGTGACTGGCACGTATGGACCTGTGTATGTATCCCTTTCGATGGATATACTCCAGCCCAAGCAGAACATCACGTAGTATAAGGCAAACGATAATTTCTGGAAAACCTATGGTGATATAATTAGTTTTAGGCGAGCGTTGAATTGGCTTTCCAAATAGACTGAAAGATAACAACCATGGTCTACCTGTTGTGAAATAGCTATTCATTGCATCTCGGCAAGAGTTGTAGCACATTAACGGTGATATCACGTATACATCTGAATTTTTAACGAATGCCGTATGCATTGGCAACACGTGGTCACAATCAAATTGACGCATTGTCAAAATTTCCTCCTGAAATCAAGAGAGAAAAAAAAAACGGAATTTCTATTAGATACACTTCTATGCCCATCCGAAATCGTGTGAATTTTAATTTTTCCTTCCATTCAAAACGGCCATGGGAAATCAAACAGGCATCCCACGACTGACTCACCCGAATTAAATTAGTTTCTTCTTTCGCTTTGTCCATTTGAAATTTTTTTACCGCCACAAATTGTTGGGTGGGCACATGTTTTGCTAGGTATACCACACCGATGCCAAAGCAGCAGTTCGATAATTCCGATTTAATTTCATAATTAGATGAATTTGCGTCTAATGCTGTCTCCATTTGTACACTGTTCTTTAAATTGTTAACCGCTCACACTCGACAACTTCAAAAACCTGCTGCTGCTGTTGCTGCTGCTCCCGTTCTGCCACTTTTTCTCTCTCTCTCTCTCTTTCTCTCTCTCTCACTCACTCCTGTTTCAATGTAAAACGTTGACGTGCATACTTTCATGTAGTAATCAAACGTCGATATATCAAAATTCATCAAAAACAATCATCGATCATAATAGGCTATTATTTTATTATTACTGGTGACGCCAGAATGTATGTGATGTTGCTCTAAAATGACGAGAGAAAAAAAAACGAAATCAATTATCAAAAATTGTTTGTCAAACATTGTAAAGGAAAGAAAAAGAGAAAAAACAATATTGAAAATAAAAACAGATCGCATATCAGATGTGTATGACACTTTGCAAGTGTCTCAAAAGAAAGTGATGGGCGGCCGAACACTCAATTGATGCTATCAATAACCCAATAAACATTGCTAATTGTGGTAAATGAAAGAAGCGAAAGAAAAAAAAACACACACACAAACACACACACAAACACACTCGTTTTCGGTGCACACACAAAAAGAATTCGCCGATGATAACGTTGTTTTGCAAAAATGAAATGAACCGCAAACAAATCACAGAAGAAAAGAAAAATTTCACCGCGAAATGTTTGAATATATTCAAACTATTTGAGATTACGTTGGTTTTACTATCTATCACTATATATATATATATATATTCAAACTTAGCGAAAAGTCATCGCTCTAATGTCAAAGAAAACGATGAAGTGATTTAGCGAGCACTTGTAAATGAAATACATACACATAATCAAAATCTAATTTGATGAGAGTGTGCTTCTTTCCTCTCTTCTTCTTCTTGTTTTTCTTCTTCTACTTTGGTTTCTCGGTTCGTTTATTTTGAAATTGTGAAAATTTGCAAATATTCTCTCGAAATCGAGGCCGACTACGGTGTTTGTACCTTCAGTTGAGTGGTGAACGTTTTGTTGGTATCAATAAAATATACACTTTCAAAATACGTCAAACACGCGATGCGTGATGCAAGAGTGTGAGTGCGAGCGTATGTACTGTGTGTGTGTGAGTGTGAGTATGTTTTGTGCGTGTCTTGTTTAGTAGGTCTGGTTTACATTCCATGAGACAGTGCGAATAATTCCTATTCCGATTGTTACGAAGATCGTCAATAAATAAACCGAAAGAAATGAAAATAGATCATTCATTTGTCAAGGAGCATCACACAATTGATTGGTCTCGTCTATTTGAGCATTCAGTGACCGTCATGGAATTTCCACAATGTTTCCAGCCACAATTGTTTGTGTCATGTAAATTGGCGAAATTTTTTCAATTGATCAAACATATACAATCAAAAATATTATTTCGCTTCTCTTTGTCTTTGGCACAGCCAATTTACTAAATTTAATCGTTTGACTTTGTCTTTTTCTTGTTATGGCCCATTGAAATCGGCTGCTTGATTTTTTTTTTGAACAATTACTACGCGTGATATCAATAGGCGAGTGCATGGAGAAATTAAAATACGCGCTAAAAAAACAAAATAGAGACAGAACGAAACCTTAAATGCGAGCGCACACACAGGCGAGCATGTCAGAGTACAATAATAATAATAAAAAAAAGTGTGTGATCTGTATGAAAACAAAAAAAGAATTTGGTGGAAAAGTGAAGAGACTGTTTTCAAGCGCACACCACGATTCATGCATTGTCAAACAGATGGGTGTGTATATGTATGTGCACTGTATGCACACACGCGACAACATGGTGATGTGATAAAAAGCGTTTGGCAAAGGCAAAATCACAATAAAAATTGCCTGATGGAAGCTCAATTGCATTGAGAGAGATTGAAGGCATTTGCTAACCACACACCACGAACATATCGATGCAATGCAATGTGCTTTGGTGTGTGCGTTTTTGTTGCTGTTGTGTTTGGAACGGAGTGTTTGGAACGGAGTGGCTGTCGTTCTCGCTCTTAAATGGCGAGCGAAACAGAGAGCGCACGATGTGTCAGCTGTGTGCAAGCGACAAGAAGCGAAAAGAAGAGCGAAAGATTCTTTCGTAAGTAATGATTTACCTTGTTATGATTCTGCATATACATACAGTGTGCAGTGTATCTCTCTCTCTCTCACACACACACACACACACACACACACACACACACACACGTACACTCGCAATTCCGGAGCGTGTGTATTAGCTTGCTGAAATATACACCGACCCAAACACGCAGAAAAGCACAACCAAACAGCCATAGAACGATTACATTACGGCGCAGATATATACGTACATACGAGATCCGATGACATATACAAATACACACGCATACAGGTTGAAAACGTGTATGCGAGGCCTCAACACAAAGTGTAGCAAGAATTCTTTATTGTTATTGTCTGTTTGTTAATGCTGTTGATATATTTTTTCGCCTCTGAGTGTGAGTTGTTTCTCGCTCACAAAAAAAAAAAAAAAAATTTGTGTTTTTGAGACACACAGCGATTCTTCTTTTTTCCTCTACGCTGTCTAGTTCGCTGTTATATCTTATTATTAATTTTCGTTGTAAAGAGCGAAATCGACAGAAGACGAAGGGAATGAAAAATATCGGCTCTTTGATTTTGAAGACGACGGGAAAAAAGACAGAGAATAATAATAAGTGAAGAGAAAAAAAACAAAACACTCAAATGATTGATTAGTAGTGTTTCTGTCATCGATGTAGTCTTTGTCGAGTGTGCGATATCATTTGCAAGAAGAAAAGAATATCAGACAGAAAAACGAAGCGAGCAAATACAGAAGAAAAAATGAAATAAGAAGAAGAAGAAGAAGTAGTAGAGAATCAGTTTGAAAATATTGGTGCAAAGAAATTTATTTTATTTTGAAAAGTGACACACAGTGTGATACTGAGATACCGAACGCATTTTTTTTCCTCTCCCTTGTTCTGGCTTCAATATATTAAAAATAAATGCTTCGATCGAACCGAGCGCAGGAATTAAAACAAATATCATAATAATAACCATATATACACACAACAAAAGAGTGGGCAGCGGTAACAATTCCTTGAATCAAAGTCACCGCAACAACAGAAGAAGAAGAAGCAAAAAAAAAACAAACGAACTGCTTGCTTGTTGGGGAGACAAAACGTTCAAAAAGTAAATAATGAAATACGCATGAGTTTTTAACAGTGCACCGCAGAATAGAACCGAGAAAAAAAAGCGCAAAGATGAAAAGCAAAAACGAACAATGCTAATCGACGAAGTGAAACATCAAAAATAGCAGATGTTACATGTTTATCAGTCATTTTTTTCCACGGAGCCTAAATGAATTTGCAGTCTAGCGTGCGTTTTCAATATAAACACTGTGCTATTTAGTTCAGACGCTTGTTCAGTCACTGTTCTTTGCTACGTGATCAGTGCAGTGTGGTGGTTTCAATTAAGGGAGACACAACAAAAAAAAAAACAACAACGCCAGAATTGTTGAAGAGAAGTGTTTAGAAAGAGAAATAAAACGGCACCGAGTCCATTCAACCAACCACCGAAATTTATATCGATAGACGAAGAGAGATAGTCTGGACTCAATGGTGATAACAATCATTTAAGACGACTGATTGAGAAGACGACGACGACGACAAAGACGACGACGGTGACAACGAAATCGACCACTTCGACAACAATATCGATAACAACAGCGAATGATTAGTCCAAAGCAATCGAGACGTGAGGTGCCCACGAATTAAATTGAGCGACCAAATGAACGAAGAAAAAAAAACATCATGTTTGGGTTCATGTTTAAATTTCAGCGTTTCATAAATGGTTCACTCTTATCGATAAGTGAGTGAGAGTGAAGCGGGTAGACGTGCAATTATAAAAACATACATATTCTCGGTGAAATGGGACAAGAAAAGCTTCGGCAATAATAATACACCGTTGCGACCAAAATTCAAGTGATCAACCACATTCTTTTGTTATACTCTGTTTAGTATTATCCGCATGAAGCTCCGAATAATCGACTGAACGCTCCGACCGACCGCCAAGCCGAACATTTGTTTTACATTTCGCAAATCAAAGAAGCAATTTATTGATGTCGTTTGCGTATACATATGGGTGCTGCAATCCAATATAAACCGATTATTTAAATGGATTGTTTTTTTCTCGTTTAAAAACACATCTAGTAGAGAGAGAGAGAGAGAGAGAGAGAGAGAGAAAAAGAGAAATAGAAATAGATAGGAGTCTAGTAGAACAAAGAACTACTGAATTGACAAGTGCATTTTATGTTTAAAGCTTATCATTTTGTATCAATTCATCAAATTTAACCACCATTTTCGTACAAAAGCTGTCAGATTCGTATCACACACGAAGAAGAACTTTCTGAATGAATATAAAACGTTCAAGTGCATTAAATGTCAACCGTGAAAGTAGTAAACTTCAAATACGAAACTCAATTTGGGTTTTTTTTTCTCGTAATTTTCAGCAGTTGAAATACCGTTTTTTTTCTACTGCTGCTGCTACGATAGTGCATAAACACGAAAAATTCTTTAATTGAAATGGACGCATAAATTAACGCAAATCGCACGAAAATTTTGCTTTTTGAAAGAAAGAAATAAATAAAAAAGAAATCGGTGTGCGTCAGCGATGGACAGAGATAAAATCGAGAACGGAATATAGCATGCAAGTGTAAAGCACTGTTTTTTTTCTCTGTTCGTTTCGTTATTCGTATATTTAATATAATTAATATTGTTGTTCACGTCGTTGGCCGTATGCAAGCTGGGCTGGCTGCTATTGCTACTACTTTTGTTATAATAAACAACATTCACCAGATCATCAGAGACAGGCACAATAACTGTGTGTCTGTGTGTGCATTCCAAAATACACAGTATCGGCGGCGGCGGCGGGTTCTGCTTTTTCTGCTGTTAGAACATCAGCCCCCTTCAATTTTTATCATAAATTTGTCAACAGTTTGTGATTGTACGGAATCAGGCAAAGAGAGGAATTCGGTTTCGGTGCGTTCTATTTCTTTATTTCGGAATAAACACACCGACAGACCCATCGGACATGTTAATCGCTTTCAGACTGTGTCCGACTGCAATGCACGACGTCAACAATAACAAACACGATTATTGAATAAAAACAGCGAAAACAAAAAGGATCTCGTGGGTAAACACAAACGACACATAACGACAGAAAGAGAGGAAAACTGCGACACCGAATTAAAGCGAAATAAAGCGAAAACGACGACGACGACAGACAACAACAACAATTTGTTGGATACATCGCGGTGAAAGCACAAATCCAAGGGCAGACAACGGAATATCATCATTCAAAAGATAGATAGCAACAAGAAACCATGACGAACTCGGGACGAAATCGATTCGAAGTATGTTTTTAAATGATTTTCGCAACAACAATAACAACAATTATGCAAACAACACCATTTTTTACTCGATAAATTTCATGTGAAATCGCGTTGTATAAATTACAATGCGAAAAAAAAGCCCATAATTGAACGGAGATAGCTTTTATAACGCGATAACTCCGATTGCGTTATATATCCAAATTGAATTTCCCGAAAACCGTAAATTGACGATGATGATTTCGCATAGAAATGTCGATTCGTTGCTGTTGTTGTTGTTATTGTTGACTTTTTTTTTCAATGTTCAAATTTTTCTCAGGTTCAAAATCAATTCAAACAAAAGAGATGACTTTCAATGGGTTTCCCAGTTCGCCAACCAATTCGAAATGCAATTGCTGTTTTGCTTCTTTGGCGTCAGTTGTTCGATAGAGTTTCAATAGTTTTATTTTTGCATTCCATTTGATTTGAATCACCATGGTTTTTTTTCCCTCTGCATTTGAAAACAGACAACGGTGTGTTGGCGTACGCCATTCGGAAAACCTATGCATTTCATGCTCAATCAATGTTTTCAATTGTTTCCGTTTTTCGCAATTTGGGCGCTGTTATTTGTGCAGACTTTTCCATCGTCTGAAGCGAAGCAATAAAAGCCATCATACGAATTCAACGAGCTAGATATAATTTCATTCATTTAGAGTATATTTACATAGCATTCAATCGCTATGTATGTGTGACATTTTCGCGCTGATAAGTGAAGACAAAACGCTCAAAATTGATTTGATAAACGGTGAATTCTCGGTACCTGAATATTGTTCCATTGTTCTGTGTCACGTCAACGGCATCAATTTATTGGGACCAATGAATTGTGTGTGATATTTGTTGGCATTATTTTTATTTTTTTTTTTTTGATTGGATGACAGCATCTGACAACATAGGCACATTCACTACGGGTGTAATAAATCGGTCTCTCGACGACTAAAAAGAATGCCGTGTATGCCAAAAAGGCCATTTAGCGTACGCCGCAAGGACTATATGTGCTGTTAAATGTTTATAATAAGTTCAATTTTGTCAATTTGAAACATTTCCATCGGCGAATCGGTTAGCTATTTATGAACATGTATGAATAATATAGACGGAATAATTGGTGTTGATTTTGTAATTTGTTGTCATGTGTGTTAAACTGTGCAGCAGCAGCGGCAACAGTAGTCGCATGTAGTCAACTTCAAACATTCGGCTTGAAGTGCGAAAAAAATAATAATAATAATAACCAGAAAATACAATCTGAATAAAAGTATGTGTGCAAATAGAAATGAGTGCGATTTGTTGCTGCGGCTGCTACTGCTGTTGCTGTTGCTGTTGCTGTTTTTTTTGTGTTTTGAATTTGTTAGCTATATTATTATTATTTTATTATTCTTTGTTATGGTTCCATATGAAATGGAACGGAGTGTGTGGGGCACGTACCTTTGTGTTGTGGGGAAAGAGAGTGAAACTGAGTTAAGCAATGTGCGACAAAAAAAAAACAATGACGAAATTTGCACAACTTCAATGTTTTCTTTCATTGAATCGGCGCTCGCTCGCTCTTTCTCTCGTTCTTTGTTTTGTGAGTGTTTGCGTCGTTCGTCTGCGTCTCGTTCTCTTTCCTTTTTTTTGCTGCTCAATTTAAATTCGATTTATTTTTAATTTGAGTTTGAACATTTAGCCTCTTACATACGGTTCGGAAGAAGCGGTTTCAATCGCACAAACATTTGATCCGGTTGGAATGTTGAAATGCAATTGCTGTTGAAGTGTGAACAGAAATGAAAGAAAAAACAAACGAGCGCGCGGGCTTGAGCATACTTGCCCCCTCTGATCAAATGTTATGCACCGTGTTTCAAAACAAAGAACCAGAACGCATTTTTATTAAGTACAGTGTACACACAGAGTGGATGGGGCAATCAAAATGCGATTGTGTGTCCTTTTGGGGTTACAAAACGATAAGAAGTGTCTTGTTTTCTTTGTCTCTATCTTTCTTGGCCCCTTTTCCCGCTCTCTGTCTCTCTCTCACTCTTGTTTCGCACCCAGAAAAGGAATTATACCATGCCGAATGTATGAGCTCGAGGCTTAACAACAAAGAAACATCAAGAATTCAGTGCGCATTTCATTGTTAAATATCATTTTTCAGCCGCGTGTTCACCATCGTGGTTTCTTACCTCACTCTTTCTATCTCTTCAGTGCTCTGTGTAAACAGAGATAGACGCTGTGCGGTGTGTGCACGTTGAAAATTTGTTCGCAGAAAGACATACAGCTGATTATATGTTATTGCGCGAGCACAATGTACGATTTTGGTGTGTCGATGTTTTCATTCTGCCGTTTGTTTGTTGTTTTTTTTCCTATTTTGATTGTGCCACAGTCAGTGTATATTTTTCTTCGCTTCTATTCTTTGAATCTAATGTTTATTGTCGGCGGGCGGCGACAACAACGACGACGACGGCGACGATGACGACTCATATAGTTGGAGAGCTCAGGTTTTCCATATATTCTTTCGTTCACTTGTTTCTGTGTGTTATTGTTGTTTTTGCTATCGAATTGACGACTTTCATACTCTGTTTTGTATACACGACGATCTGAAGTAAGTCGCACACATGAGCGCGTGCACCCATTCATTTGTATGTGGCCGAACACACGCGCACACGGGGCCTATAATAAAAATTGAAATCGCAATTCCATGTATAATCATATGAGAGAGTGCTGAATGGTTTCGACTGGTTCGTTCGTGTTGGCCGCAAATTGATTTTCATGTGAGCGCATGCAACACTGATCATCGAATCATGTTTGTGTATTCATTCATTTGCTTATGATGATTTTGCTGTTGATTCATTAGTTTACCGTCATAATTTATTGATGCTGAATTTGGAATTTGATTGTCCTGGCTTTTGTGTTTCGCTCTTCTCGTCGTCATTGTCGTTATGCGGTTGCAAATTTTCTAATGCAATTCAAATTATGCGATATTTTCGAAATAAATTCATGCCATTTTCAATTGTTCCCCTATCATATTCTCTTGTGTCGTTTTTTTTCTGCTTTGTCTTCACGGTGCATGAACCGAAATGGACAATAAATGTGATATGGTTTTGGTATTTCGACACAAACAAAAAAAAAACATCCAAATGATTGTTGTTCCTTTGCAACATGCCAATATGCGATGTTGTTGGTGTTTTGTGCTTTTCGGTTGAAGGTAGGAAATTTTCCTACGATCCGAATGAAAATGCCATTGAACTGAAGAACTACGCTCTTTTTGAAATATACACAAAGGAATACTACGCTGTGCAATTCGTATGCATGATACAAATCAATTAATTTTGCAAATTGAGACGCAATTTCAGAAATCGCACGAAATGAACATATTAAAATTGAATGAAATGCGAAGCCACTTGGTTGAGGCTCGCTTTGCGCTGCTTGAAACTATTGCTGCAACAACGACATATAGACAAAGCTCTCTCTCCTTCCCCCTATCTCGTACGCGGTGCGTACATATAAATATGCTCAAATTACAGTGAACGAATTTATTGACTGCAAGAACCCAGATAGATCAATGTCTTTTACATGATGAAAACGATGAAAACTGAACAAAAAAAAAAATTGAAAATGGCAAGAGAGTGAGAGCACACATATTAGCACAGGGTTGAATGAGAAGCGTTGCGAAAATAAAAATCGAAGCGTTAGCATTGCTGCTGCGCCATCGCTGACCGAACGAACGAACGAACGAATCAAATGATATGTAAACATTTCACCGAAAGGGTATCATTCACTTTGAATCGCAATGAACTTTATTGACTTTGAGCTTTGAGTGCGGGAGAGAGTGTGAGTGAGTGAGTGAGTGTATATCTCGAATCTTGACTGAACTTGCTTCGACACCTCTTCGACGACAAGAGAAGTCTTAGTTTGTTTGCTGGATTGAACGCCACTAATATTCTTTAGTCTATTTATGGCGACTGTTCACATAAAAAACGCTTGCTAATTCAATCGTTCGTCGCTTCGACACCAATGACATGCTTTAGCAATTTCCATAAATATATCTTATTATGAAGCGAAACAAAGCAAAATAAAATATGGTCATTTCTCTTCGTTTTTTCTTTGTTATCAATCAAATCGTGAAATTAATGCGCCATTCCGGGAGTGAAGAGTGACAGAAGAAATCTGTGAAAATCAGTTAAAAACTTTGAGAACTTTTGCCATTATGTCATCATGTCATCAAAGCGAACTTTCACCCCTCTTATGTCTGTTTCTCTTGTCGTCGGATCAAGCCAAAATAAAAATAAACCATCGACACTAAAACAAACAAAAGAAAATCTGGAAATTCAATACGGTCAGTGCACTCTAGACAGTTTTTGCAAGAGCGTCTCCGTCTGTGTCGCTTTTTTCATCGTCGTCGTCGTCTTCGTCGTCATCGCCGTCGTCGTCGTCGTTGCTGCTGTTGTTGATATTCTGTTGAGAGCACATTAGACTGATATCTTGTGTTGTGCAAAATGACCGCATACCACCCGCCACCTCATCTACTCTTTTGCTCTCGGCCAGACGCTTTCCCTTAGATTTGAAAATTCAAAATAACCAAATGAAAATGAAAAGCGAAAAGCAAAACGGGAAAAAAGCTGCCAGAAGAAAATGTGTGTGAACCAGCATTTTCCCGACTGATGTAACATGGGTAACATGGGTAACATTGAATATGTTTGGTGGTTGCGTATGGAGAAATCATTCCAAAGTCTATACATCTGAGAACTGCTTATGGCCAGAGTACTGAACCGCACACTTTGCCTCTTTTTTTTTGGCAGAACTCGAAAAATACGACGAATCACATGCACCGAACACAGCAACCACACACTCACACACACCGCAGAGTACATTGCCATCGATGAAATATATCTCTATTTATGGTTGGGTATATTTATAAAGTATACGGAATATAAGTATGCAAGTATGGAGTTAAGACATATCGTCATGCAAGTTCACAGCTCTCTTCTCTCTCCCATTCACGCTATCGCTTCGACTCTGTCCCATCATCGTCACCACCATCACCACCCTCTTATTGTGTCGGCTAATGCTATATAGGATCATGAATATAATACAGGCTAACGTGGCACAGAGACATGCTAGATGTCAATGTTCTGCCACATTCATGTATTCCACAGCTAATTGTACGGGATGTATATGTTTGAAGGATGGTATATTCTTGTTTTTGCCAGTGCTGCTGCTGCTGCTGCTCATTTCATTTTTTTTCTTTCTCATTCATTTGCTCACTTCACGTTTGCTCCCACTCTCACACTCTCTTTTTTCCATGCTCTCAGATACATTCGCTGAGATACATAAGCAGCCAAAAATTGCGAACATTCCACAACCAAAATAAAAGAAGTAGCAAGAAATTGAATGACGCGTCAAACCAAATTAATACTGTTATATGTATTCAACAATATTGGTGCTACGTTTTTCACATTACCGACACATTTTGATCAACTCTCTCTCTCTCTCTCTCTCTCTCTCTCTCTCTCTCTCTCTCTCTC